GTGTTGTTATAACGGGAGTGACTTGTATTATGATATTTCCAATAATTAATTCGTTGTTATTCATAATTAATTTCGTCGCCCGTAATTAGTTTCGTCTCCCGTAATTAGTTTTGTCACCTGTAATTAGTTTTGTCTCCCGCAATACGGTAATTATGTTTTTAAAGAGGAAAATGGTAATTAATTACGATAATTACGTACTTACGGTAATTATGCAATTACCATCCAATGTAGTGTTAAAAACGGTTTGCATAGAAAATTTTCACAATAGTAATTAATTTGTCGCCCGTAATTAATTTCGTCACCGTGATTAATTTCATTACCTGTAATTAGTTTCGTCACCCGTAATTAATTACGTAATTACGTTTTTAAAGAGTGAAAGTGGTAATTAATTACGTTAATTACAAATTACGTATTTATGGTAATTAGCTAATTACCATATCATGTATACTTGTTGTATCCTCCTTCAGCTTTTCCTTTAGTAGTTTCATTTATTGTTTTAAGTTTAGTTTCTTTACAAAGAGCACATTTGGCATTTTTCACTATTATACCTTGAAAATGTTTAAAAGATAACAAGTTTGTCCACCCAACCCCCAATTCTGCTTTATTTTTACTTGATTTTGTAATTTTTCTATACTTCGGAGCCTACTCTAATTTCATTGCAAACTACACATTTACCACATAATACTATATTGGGAATGCTAGTACTAAGTAAAGTATGTCAAATTGCAGATGCTGATGTATGCAGCTGGAATTAAGTTAAAAAAGTGTTAAAATATATCTATAAAGTTAAAGTATGTGTTACATATTGACATGTCCCCCACTTTAATTGAACAATAAAGTTTTTTACTTTAAAAATTACATAGTTGCTAGAATAGAGATAAATGGATAACTAATGAGAGAACTAACTTATACACTTTTAGATTTAGAAAGAACAAGTCGAAAAACTTGTGATTTTTGCTCCAATATTTATGGAGAGGATAATAAGTCTGTTAATCAAATAGTGGCTCATATTAAAACAAATGGCAAATATGTTGCAGATGATGTAGTTTGTGAAAACCATAAGGAAAAATTTGAAAATGATGAATTATTAAAATGTGAGAGATGCAGTAGATTACAAAATAGACATTACCTTGATGTTCATAGTGGTAAATATATTTGCTTTTGTGTCAAATATGAAGAAGTTATGGAAGAAAAGGAACTTCCCTTTTTGCCTAATTAAGAAATAAGTCAAACTGCTTTTTATGAGAGACAAATAAACTCCTTAAAAGAAGAATTGAATGAGGCTGAAGAAGCATTGGAAATCAAAAGAGAGGAAGCAACCAAATTTCAAGAAAAATCTGAAGAGTGGAGTAAGAGACAAAAGCAGGAATTATTGGCTAAGATAAATGGTTTAGAAGAAAAAATTAAACAACTAGAAGAGGAAAACAAGAAGTTAAAAGAGGAAAAAGAATGGTCAAATTACTCAAATTGAAGTTAAAGAAACTAAGAAATGATCTTGATTGAAAACAAGAAAGTAATTTTTCTCTGTATAAATTGAAATTCATTCCAACTATCAAAGAAAATGATAGGTTGTCTTCCTTTAGATGTAAGTTAGAGAAAATGTTCTGGCTTTTGATATCTTATTGATGATAATCCAACAATAATAAAAAAAGCAGCTACAGTGTTACTGATAAAAATAAGATTTACATTCTTCCTGATTACAAACATAATCATAGTACTACTGAATCTAATATCTAACATGTTAAAAACTACTGTCTCTGACTTAAAAGGTGAAGATTTTGCAAAGCTGCCAATGAATATAAAAACTATATTTCAAGAACAAAGGAAATTATGATGATAAATCTATTTATGAATAGTAGATATAGCTTTTTTAGGTTTTATGATTTATGTCATTAGAAGAATTAAAAGGAAAAAATAAATCAATATTGTAACAATGAGATTATTTTTTCTTCTAAGGACTTCTGTTTTTTGCTGGATAATAGCACATCTTCATTATGCTTTCTTTTTCTAACATTTATTATTTTTCTTCTTGGTAAATTTCATAAGTGATCCTTTCTTTTCTTAGATAGGCTTCAAGTGTCTAAATATCATTTATTTTGAAAATATAAGGAGCAATTTTTTCACCTTGTTCTTTCTTCAAAATACTTCTGATAGTACTATAATTCTTGGGTTCCATATTAGATCTGATGTAAATTAATTTCATATTATTATTTTTACATAAAGAGGAATAGTTCTATATATCATTTAAGATAACAAATGAGACATTATAAAACTAATTGTGATGATAAAACTAAATTTTGATCCCTGAAATTTTTGGCAATACCAATGTTCACTTTGTCTGGTTTAGTTACAGTAAGCTTCAAGTGTCTGAGTATCATTTATTTTGAAAATATAAGAGGCAATTTTTTTACTTTGTTCCTTTTTTAAAATACTTCTGATAATACTATAATTTTTGGGTTACATAGTAGATGAGTTTCATATTAATTATTTTATCACTTAACAAAATGGGACATTATAAAACTCTTAATTATGATCACGTTACAAATGACTAAATTTTGATCCCTGAAATTCTTGGTAATACAAATGTTCACTTTGTTGCAATATGCCCCATATAATGATTATCTTTTACTTTATTATCATCTCAATCTATTTATTATTGGAAATTCTTTCTTTCAATATAAATATTTTTTTATTCCTATTTGTTTTTTTATATTTTTATCGTATATATATCGAAAATACTTGAAGATGGTGCCAACCACAATCAATCCTATAGCAGTTTCTCAAAACACCACAGTGATAGTTCACCCTTTAGTCTTGTTGTCAGTTGTTGATCACTATAATCGAGTTGCAAAGAATACAAAAAAACGAGTGGTTGGAGTTTTGTTGGGCCAAAATAATGGTAAAACCGTTAATGTTGCTAATAGTTTTGCTGGTAAGAATAATTGATTTGGATTTCGTTGTTGATATTATTATTATTATTATTATTATTATTATTATCATTATTATTAAATTGTTTGAATTTATTGATCGAGTCTGATTGATTGATTCGTTGGTTGATTCATTCATTTTGTAGTTCCGTTTGAAGAAGACGAAAGAGATCTGTCAGTTTGGTTTTTGGACCATAATTATGTAGAAGCTATGAATGATATGTTTAAAAAAGTTAATGGTATGAAGATGATAATAATTAATAATAATAAATTTAATCTACTATTGACCATTACCATCATTCATTTATCATTATTTATTCGTTAATTTATTAGCCAGAGAAAAGATGATTGGATGGTACCATAGTGGACCTAAACTTCGTGCATCAGATTTGGAAATTAATGAATTGTTTAAAAGGTATACACCAAATCCTGTTTTGGTTATTGTGGACGTTAAACCTAAAGATATTGGTATACCAACTGATGCTTACTTTGCCATTGAAGAGATTAAAGATGTAGGGGGTTTTTTTTTAATTAGCATGATCATTATCATAATAATAAAATCAATGATTATTATTTATTTATTTATTTTACTATTAATTATTATTTATTTATTTATTTATTTATTTATCGATCGATTAATCAATCAATCGATATAATAATTGTAGGATGGCACAGCGACCACAAAAACTTTTATGCACGTTCCTTCACAAATCGAAGCTGAAGAAGCCGAGGAAATAGGAGTAGAACATCTTTTACGTGATATAAAAGATAATGCAGTTGGAACTCTTTCCACACGCGTGACAGATCAACTAAACTCATTGAAGGGTCTACAATCAAGATTGGAGGAGATCCGTGATTATTTACAAAAGGTAGTTAACGGTACTTTGCCCATCAATCACCAAATCCTTTATAATCTTCAAGACATCTTTAATCTATTACCAAATTTAAACATCACTGAAATGGTCAAGGCATTTTCGGTTAAAACAAATGATCAACTGTTGGTTATATATTTGTCATCATTGGTTCGTGCTGTAATTGCATTACATAATCTGATTAATAATAAAATTGAGAATTTGAAAGGTGAGAGTATTCAACCAGAAGAAGAGGAGAAAAAGGAAGAAAATAAAATAAAGGATTCATCAAAAGATGTAAAGGAAAATAATAATGGTGCTGGTGGTAGTGGTGGTGGTGGTAATGGTGTTGAAAATAATAATAACAATACAAAAGAAAATAAAGAAAACAAAAAATAAAGATTTCGGTTAATTTATTATAATTTTTATAGAGAAAAAAATATATACATCAATATGTAATTGTAGAAAATCATTATAATAATGTGTTGAAATAAAATTAATTGATCTACACCCCTGTTTCCAAAATTTACAAACTATAATGATATTTTATGAGTTTTTTAAAGACTAGAATTTTTAACAAAAAATAAATAGCGCTGTGTAGGTAGATATAATATAATGACGAGGAAAAATAAAAAGAATAATGAGCCGTCCGTGGCTAATAACTCGAACAAGAGTGGTGGTGGTGGAGTCAATAATTATACTAGTAATAACAACAATTATAAAGGCAGCAACAACAATAACAATAACAATAATTATAATAATGCTAATACAAAAAGTAAATAATTTTTATTTTGGAGAATTTTCTTGAGAGAAGAAGAACTCATGTTAATTGCTTTTGATTATTTAGACAGTAGAAAATACATGAATAACAACGAATCGTCTAAATATAACAATAATTGGAATTCGATAAAAGATTCAAGGATAATATCATCAGCTGAGGATAACGAGAAACTAGCAAGAAGAACACAAAGATTTAATAATAGCAAAAAAGAACCAAAAGGCATGTCAGATGTCGATATGTTCTTGATTGCTATTGTATGCACTTGGAATGTTTCTAAATTTATTGAAAACAATTCCACAAAAACAACACTTGATCCCTCTAATAATGATAATACCATCACCGAAACAACTAACAATAATATGAAACGTATGAAAGCATACGACTTCTTTATAGATCGTGAACCACCTGTGTGTTTTAGTGAATTATATTCAATTAATGAAGATCAACTCTGTGAGGAATTGGAGGAACGTTTAAATATTGGGAAAATATGATTTTTAGCTTGAGGAAAAAAAAGGTAATCAAATCTCCTTGCCTTTTTTATATTTCTTTCTTTGTGATATGCATAAAATGTGTTTGTTTTTCACATATATTCTCTTTATACTTTACATAGATAATAAAAAACTTTTTTTTTTTTTGTAAATAATATAGATTCGTGTTAGAAATTAATAATAATTTTATCAATATAATAATCTATGGCAAGATTTAACATAGTAGAGAAAAAAATGTTTTTACTGTTAATAATAATAATGTTTTTACTGTTAATAATAATAATGTTTTTACTGTTAATAATAATAATACATACAATCATTATATATATATACATAATACATATATATTTATTTATTTATAGCAAAACAAAATGTTAATAAAAAATTATTCTTTACTTTTATCCACTCATATACATACATACATACATACATGATTCTTACCAACCCATCAAAATCATTAGATTTTAATACATTAATCCAACTTCGCCAATTCCAATTTCAATCAAATCATAATTATTGACATTTCCACCTACCGCCCTATTTATTGGAATTACTTCCCACATTCCATCACGCGCTCTTCGTACACAACACATTATAACAGCTTGACTATTGTTTGCATTGTCAAATGTACATTTTACCAATTCTTTGTCAGGTGTAGCCTCATCATACATTTTGAAATTTTTTGAAGGAAAATTGCTAATTGTTGGTGCCAAGTATGATGAAAGTATAAAATAAAGTTGGGTTACTTCTGGTGGTAATTGATCAAGCTTTGCAGTGATTCTTTGATGGCCTATTTTTTTGTGGCGATGATGGTGATTATGATGATGATGATGATAATAATAATTGTTGTTACTATTCATTTAACACACGCACGCACACACGTGTGTGTGTGTATATATATACATATACCGTACATACAATGTGTTATTACCTTTTTTATTAGTTCCATCCATGACATCTCCAGAATGCTTCATGTGAGGAAATTTAGGATAAAAAACCGAAGCATAATCATATTTTTTCCAAAGAGCAACACCTGCATAAACCAAACAAGTTCCATCCAAATAATCAGTGGCACCACTTGTTGGATAGTCCCAGAACAAATCAAATGTCAAATTCTTGATCGCTTCTGCTTTTGAAATGCTATAAAGAACCACAATTAGTTGTATTAAACTACCAGGCACTACACCGAAATCTGATAATGTGCTCTGTCTCGAATCAGTATAATCCTTTACCAAAAAAAAATTATATACAACAATCATGATTATCATTTTTTAATGATGATGACAATAATAATAATAATAATAACAATAATAATAATAATATATTTTTTTAAAAAAATTAAATATACAATCGAACGTCTAATTTTATTTTTTACCTGCAATTCTTTTCCATTAAAAATCAATTTTTGTTTCATAGGGTCAACTTTGAATTCATTTTTAATCAAACCTCGTAAAGCGACAATGGTCTTTATATCTTTGATTTGGAATGTACGTTTTGTCCCATCCAAAGAAGCTATGTAAATAACTCCTGCCGCTGCTGCACCTTGAGAATTATCAGACGGTTGATTTGTTGGTACTACGCTGCCAATGCTATCGATATCAACCTTAAAAGGTGCTTTATCCCATGCTAAGCTTATAGCTTTTAATTCCTCGGGTCCAAGTTTTTGATCACATTCTGGACAATTTTGTTTGGGTCCTACATTTAATTGAGTTATTAAACACTTCAAGTATGAAGCAATGATTATTTGATTGTTTGATTAGAGAAAAAAAAAAAGTTGAATGTTTATTTTGGTTTGTTTTGCTTTAAAATTTATAAATAACAAATAACGTACCCTCAAACAAAAAGAAGTAACGTGTTGACAACGTTCAGTAATTGTAGACGAAAAAAACTCCTTGGAAAGTTTTTCGATTTTGCATTTTGAGCATTTCATTTTGTTTTTTCTAATGAATTAATATTATATATATTCCAAGAAAACTAAAATTATTTTTCCTTAAATTTGATCGGTTAATTTTAATCTAGAAAGTGTAATATAATATAAAGGAAAAAAATAATTAACAATGAACCCGATTGATTATTAATATTAAAAAAAAGTGAACATTTTTAAAATGCATACATATTGTTTAATAATTTATAGTGATCTACGCAAAGCATCAAAAATTGTTCTCAAATTTTGAATTTTTTCGGTTTTTATAGCTTCTTTTATATTAAGTTTTATTTTTTATGTTTAACAATGTTTCGAATATGGAAAAAAGGTGCCTAAAACTGGTCGTTCCATTCATTATTATTATCCAAAATCTATTGGATGATTACTTTTAATAAGTAAATAGATAGCACGTGTAATTGTGGGAAATTTAATCTAAAGATTTTGGAAAATCTTTTTTTTTTTTTTTTATAATAAAAATATGAATTCTATCACATCGACATTAAGAAGACAATTTATCTTTCTTACAAGGTCTAATAATTCATTAATCAGAATTAACTGCGGCGGAATTACCAATCAAATAAAATCAATTGCAACAATTCAACGTCAAAAGCCAATTTTATTTCAAAATTATCACTTTTCAAAAAATCCTTACCAAAATCAACAATCATATTCGACCATATCAAATAATCAAGAACAAGATGCGCCAAAAGAAACAAAAGGAGAAGATAATCCAGAAATAGATTCAAAAGATAAATCTACGTCAGAAATCGAACAAAAAGATAAACAGATAGCTGAACTCAAGGTTATTATTTAAAAAAAAAAATCAATTGAATTATCCTCACTTTTTTCCAAAAATGATCCTTACGATTATGATTATGTAGGACAGTTATTTACGATGCTTGGCTGAAATGGAGAATTTACGAGTAAGAACCAGACGAGAAATAGATCAAAAATCAGATTTTGCAATACAAAAATTTGCCACCGATGTACTCAACACACTTGATAATTTAAGATTGGCACTAAATTCTGTACCGCCAGAATTACGTACCAACACCGAGAACAGTGCACTTGTAAGTTTATACTCGGGTCTTTCATTAACTGAATCAGAATTGTTTGCAACCTTGAAAAGATATGGTATAGAAGAGATTAATCCCATAGGGGAAAAATTTGATCCAAATATACATGAGGCAGTATATCAGGAAGTTGTGCCTGGTAAAGAGGTTGGGACTGTTTCAAATGTACAGAAAGTTGGATATATTTTGAAAGGTAGAATTATTAGGCCGTCACAAGTTTTCGTAGTTAAAGAAGAAGAAGGAGAATAGACATTTGATTGGGATTTAAAGTATTTCTTTTTATCCTATCAGAGTTGATCGCTTTTTTAATTGATTTTTCTTTTGACAATAAATTTATTAATATCACTACGATTATAACTTGGTTAAATGATTCTCTCTCTCATTTTGATTTCCCTCGTCAAGAATTCAAAATAAACAAATCTATTGCTTGATTGGATTGATTGAATTTAAAAATATTTATAAAGGTTTTTTTATTTTTGTTATACATTATATACATCAAACCTATTATGATGAGTTGAATCCCAAGATGATGAAAGTTTATCTTTTTTTCTGAACTCTTTTGCCCAACACCTAAATAACTTTTTTTTTTTTAAAAAAATTAAAAAGAGATTAAAATTATCATCTAATTTATTAAATATTAATAATTATATATAATTATTTTTATATTGTTATTTCACTTACACAAAAAAATTTTCTTATTATATACATTAATCTTCTATGCCATGGATTTGAATAATAAGGTCTTCTCCAAGGATTCTCGTCATATTCATCTTCGTAGTGTACATTGGTATAATATCCAATTTGTTGTCGATGACTTAAATATTCAACTGTTGACATGTCCATTAAATCTAAAAGTATATTTGCAAAATAACATATAAATAAGCCTATATCTTATAAAAATATGCATATAATCGTATAGAGTACTTACAAAGTCTCAAATGAAAGAATAATAAATATCCAACAAATAATGCAACAACTGAACTTAGAAATATTAATAGTATATTAACAAATAATCCAAATATAACTATATTTGAATTTGTAGATGAAAATATTTTATGTACTAATAAAGAAACAATAAATGTGTGTTAATTAATGATTAAATAATTAAACTTGTGTTAAATAATAGTTTGGATACTTGCTATTCATTTCATAGTCATGTTGTGTTCCAGAATTGAGATAAACGCTCAATGCACATAAAGAAAGCCAAAGACTCATTGTTGATCCAAAAAGAGATGAAATTATAAATATTATAAACGTACTAGTTAATAATAATAATATAATTATAATTAATATTAGTTTATTATATTATTATTATATCATTAATTTACTATTTACAGTGAAATTTACCGATAATTTGCTTCGGCTATACAACTATTTAACCATCTACAATGATGATCAAAGCCTTGAATACACTAGTTATAAATATAAAAATAGTCATTAAGTCATTGAAAGAGAGTGCGTGTGTGATAATGATAATGGTGATGGTAATGGTAACGATAATAATACCTTATTACAAAATTTACAATGCCTTGTGCCAGACCCTCTAAAAAAATGATAAAAGATAAATTATTAAAAATTAAAATTCTAAAAAAACCATTTATCGTATCTTTATCATGTAAAGAGAAATAAATACTAACACATGAGATCTACAGATATAACACCAACCATCCACTACTATGGGTGTACCTTTAGTTCCTGGATAAGACAAATCTCTTCCTCTTCCCTCTTTTATAACTTTAAAATCTGATGTATCGGTTAAAGAAACCTTTATACTTGTAAATATTACAACTAAACAAAAAATTAATTCTAAAAATTTCCAAGTTGATTTTCTTCTTTGTATTGTAAATATATTTCTATAATAATAATTTTGATTGCTGTTATCGCCAATATTATCATCATCACCTATATTGTCATTTATATTATCATCTATATTATTACTATCATCGATATTGTCATTATTATAATTACTATTAACATTGTTTATAAAAATTTGTTCGCCATATTTTTCATCATCAATTACAAATTTGAGTGAAAATTCAAAATATCCTATTATAAGTGTAATCATAATAACCCAATGCATAATCAACCAAAAATCAAAAGGTGGATGATATCCGTGACTTCTATACCATGAAACATTAAAGTTATTATTGTTGTTACCATAACTACCATTGCTAGTTTTAAATTTGCTATTACTGCTGTTGCTATTACTGTTACTATATATGTTAGAAAGGGGTGAAGTTGTACCAGACATATTTCTTCTTTTAAATAAGGAGGAGAGGAGGGGGAAAAACAGTCAAAAAAAGGTAGTTTTCAATTTTTATCATTTAAATTTTTAAAATGTTGGATCGAGAAAAAATTGATATTGTTGTTAGTCAATTTGATTGGTCAATTTTTATTACAATGACTTGTGTGGAATATGAGCGGGATACAAGATATCTTATCATATGAAAATTTAATAAATTAGAAGTAATTATGCTAAAAGAGTAACTATTTTTTTCTATACATGAATTAGTTTAATTGCCAAATAGGGACCAATCAAGAATTTCAAAACTCGATACAACTTTTTTAAATTCTTCTAGAGCAACTGTAGCATCATTTTCTATGGCTATAGCTGTATTTTTACTACTACTACCTTCACCAATAGAAAATGGCACATTGTAATGAATAACTATGTCAGTTTTATGGGCAAACAAACGAATCAACGTCATGAATACGTTTATTTGATTGCGTGCGTTCGGGTTATCTTCGTTGAATTTTGTGACGACTTGTTGTCCATTTAGAAAATATGCCTGAACATCCGAAGTTCTATACTCGTTGATTAAAAAATCGAATTAATTGATTAGAACGTTGTTTTGTTGGTGAAAAAACCAATCAATCAATCAATCAATCAATCAATTAACTTGTAATTTGTTCGCTTACCCGAGAAGTGGAATATCTGAAGCAGAAGTTAAAGGAACGATTCCCTGAATTATCGAATTATTTTCTGCATCGTTGTCAAATGCTATGGAATTAAAATGATATCTAAATTAATAATAATAATAATAATAATAATAATAATAATAATAATATGATTAGGCTTGAATTATATTTGTATTTGTATTTATATATATATATTTATTTATTTATTTTTTAAGTTTTTACTTGGCAGCTTCTTCATTTTGAGCTTCAACCATTTCCAAAATTTCCAAAATGATGCTTTGATCACTATTCAGATCTAAAAAAACTTCTTGATTACTTGGAACAGAACGAATGTCACTAGATAATTGAACAAATGCGAATTTATTGATCTTGATTACATGAATTGGTGGTAGTAGTAAACGAGAATGTAAATGGTAACAATCATACCTGGCATCTTGAAATTTTACAGGGATGTATGCTTTTATCGCACCACCAAACAGTGATTTTTTTGAATTTTCCATAACAATTTACCTTTTTTTTGGAAAAATGGGTGAAATTTATTTAAATATTTTTACTACGGTAAATGACATCGATGTGACATTGCAAATACGCAGAATAAACTGATGAATTAGTCCATTTATATTATGGGCCGTCGCAGCCAGCCAATAAGATTTTGAGTAAATTCACTACTATAGTTTCCGGAGTATTAAAAATGCGTATAATTGATACTATCATAATTTTGCCAAATTTTCTTTTGCTGTCATTAATCTTTATCTAGTTGATAATACTATTTTATGATGTCACGATCTTTGATATTGTATCTTCAATGAATATAGAAATCATTTACATTATTATTATTGTTATGTTCACAACAAGTTTGTAATACTTTCTCCATTGACAAATTTCCAATGTTTGTTTGTTGTGTTAATAATGTACAGTTATCATTAGAAATAATTCTTGTGGTACTTATTGATGCCAATCAAATTATTGTCATTTGTAGTAGATGTAGTAGATGTGATACGACCAACTCTTTAAACTATATAAAATAACAATTATTCGTGTGTCTAAATACTTTCTTCCAGGGAGTACATTACTTGTGTTGTTGAAAAATAACTACGCTGTTGCCTAATTCAAAGAACATTAATTAAAAGTGTAACAGATTTTTTTACTTGTGTTACAGTTTAAGAGATATAAAGAATCAATATTATATGATAGTCTTATTCTGGGCTTTATTGTTGACACACGATCGATCCAATTTAATAATCTATCAATAAAGTAACCTTTTTACATCACAGTTCCTGTTCGGCTATGTTCAAGTATATTCCTATATTCAACTACAATATGACTAGTCCCTCCCCCGTTTTTTACTGCTCTATGCAAGTTTGAATTGCCTCTATCATTATTACCTTCATCATTGTTTTTATAATCTGTGTCATTTTGATTATCCATTTCAGAATTATTATCACTATAGAGTAATAGGCTTGGTGTAATTAGAGGACAACAAGAAACTTCTTACCACAAATAAAAGTATTCTGGTTATATGGGTAGAATAGGGAAATTTTTGACATTTTACTTATTGTGATGAGAATGCAAGATAGATCGACAATTGAACTAGTTAGTTATTCAACGTTACAAAATATTCCCTCAAATGGGCAAATAGATCATCGAGATGGATGAGAGGAGATAATTTGTATGTTCGTTTTGCTTTACTTTGTGCTTTACCTGGTTTCTTTGGTAGTTAGTTATTGTCATTAATGTACCTCGCCATTTCTTAAATTGAGATATTAATAATTGTGCATCATCCAAAGTTCCAATTTAGGAAAGTATTTGTACAATTTATGATGGATTTATCAAATCCCATAAATTTATTTAAACAAGAAATTCCTTATAAATAAATTGATAAATTTTAAATTTATTCTGTAAAAAGGGTGCGTGGCATTTTTTTTCCTTAATTTGGAATTAAAATAGATGCCACACGAACTTTTAGTTCGTGCAGAATCGTCATCAAGAGATTTTGCGCACATAATTTTTGGGAATAATGGATAGTTGTCTGGCTTCGCTTCAAGCTGACGCTATCCCAAAAAATAAATATAGAAAGCGGGATTTTTGGAATAATAAAAATTTGTTGTAAAATTAATTTATAATAATCTGAAAAAGAAAGGTTTTAAATTATTGTAAATGGATGTCCGTGTACTTTGCACATCTAAAAATATTTTTAAATCGCAACTTCCAACTCTTTGTTAAATTTTCTTTGTAAAAATGGCCCCACTTTGTATTTTTCTGCTTAATTCTTCGTTTTCATTTGTAATGTTCGAGTTTATTATAAAAATATCAACAAAAAAACTTGTTTTTTATTTTTTCTTCGATACAACACTTACAAGAACCAACCTTATAAAAAATTAGTAATGCAATAGAGCCTGAAAAAGTTGAAATAAAACATAAACCGAGCAAACAATTATTGAAGAAATTATGATTGACCAGGACTCGGATTTTTCATTAAATAATAAAATGGTAACTGAAGTCTGTAAAGTTACCTGGAGAGAAAAACCAATAGGAACGAAAAGAATAAATAGATGGAGACGAAAAAGAAGATATCAATGTTAATAGTGATATTGTTATTATTATTGATAATTATAGTGTATGTTTCTGTCAGAGCGACCAAAGAATAGGAAATCCTTATAAATGACTCGGGTCTGAGCATTTTCTTACCATCTAATCAATCGCTCTGGTGGTTTTTATCTTTATGTATTTCCTTTTCTTGTATATTATGGCATACTTTATTCCTATATATCACACATAATGGTTATATACATTTGATGTTATGAAAATTTTAAGGAACCAATTTGAAAGGCCGCATAATAATCTAACGGAATTGGAAAATAAACTCTTATATAGTTCCTTTCTCCATCGCCTTGTCATCCAAGTCTCTACTTGGCTTCCTTTTGTTTTGTGTGTTGTCGAGTCAGCAGTTCCTTAAAAACCATCTCCCCAAAAATAAATCCGATATTAATAAAATTCTCCTTCGTCCATATACATTTCTTCCGTGTGGAATTTCTTCCACGGGCGAGAAAATTAGCATTAACAGTCTCTCGACAACAATGCAACATCAACAAACTTCAGAGCCGCGTTCTCTCACCCCCTGAAAATTTAATTGCACCATCATATAATCGGACAATCAGGTCAGATTAGCATTTGTACGCAAAGAATTGATTTTAGAATTCCTCCACCCCGAAAGAAAGCACGGGGAGGGAATAAAGTCGTGACCAAATTTGTCAATTTAAATTGTTTAAGCCGAGAGCAGTTTTTTATCTTTAATAGTAATGTTGATTTTTTGCCTTTATTTACAACAAATAAGTAAATTCAAAATATAAAAGAAAAAAAATATAATCAATATTAATAATAATATTATGAAATGTGATTGGTAATTGCAAATGTTGATCAACAGAATTTCCTAAATAAATTGTTTTTCAAGAAAAATAAACAGAATGACAGAAGAGGAACGCGCGAGTAAGTATGATCGTTTTGAAAGCTGTTCTAGTTATTAGTTGTAATTATTAAAAAGAATGGTAATTTGGTTAACACGTCATTATTAATATTAACATTATAATAGAAGAAAAAAATATAATTTGAGGAGCAATAACAAGGTATTTGATTCATATAAACATTTTTTTTAATAAATATATCTATATGGTATACTTGCACATAAATGATATCAATATGCTTATTTGTATGATTAGATTTATGCACGAAATGAACAGCCATTCTTTCATCGTCTGATCATAATAATAATAAAAATCAAGATGAAAGTGGTGACCATAATTTCTCTCTCCTCCCTCACTATATCTCTTCATTAAAAAAAAAGTGTGCGCACGGTTCTTTTGGTGTTGATGTATAACTTGTGAGTATATCTTATTTTTATTTTTTTTATTGCCAAAGTGAGGCCTTGTGACCACATTTATTTATCTAAACTTTAATGCATTATTAAATATTTATAAATTTTTACACATAATTCTACCCCCCCCCAATTAACCTATTGTTAATTTAAAGCTAGCCTGCCACCTTAATTAAAATAATCATACAAAAGATAGCATGCTAAAGGCAAAATTTTCCCACTTCACACCAAAAAATATGAAATTCTGTCACCACTCTCCCATTTGTCAGAATATATAGCATTCCGAAAATTGGATGAAGTTGCTTGAGGCGTGAGTACATTTTATGATTTTTAACTATAAAGATTTATATGTAGTTATATTTTTTAAATTTTTACCATTCTATAAAAGTGAGGAAATATGGAACACTAGTTCATTCCAACATAAGGACCCAATTTAAATATCCTCGCGAGGCTATAAAACCAATTATGCAATTTGTGTTATTAGGAAAAAATGGTATATACTTATTAAATTATACACCGATTACAAACAAAATGTGATTGCGAGAATTTTTTCTAGGGATGCAAGTACATGCCATGAAATATTATTACAATTAAATCTGCAATTATTCGCCGATTTTTCCATATATTGGAATGGTATATATACTTGCATTGATTTTGATTATAAACAAAATGTTGATTACGAGATTTTCATTTTGCATTATTGATGATAACATTGTATATTTTTAATTTTTTCTAGGGATGGATGTACATGGCAAGAAATATTATTACAATTAAATCTGCAATTATTCGTCGATTTTTCCATATATTAGTACACTATGGTCTGTTGTTCATAGAAATCAGTTATGGACCATACACTAAAATCAAAATCACGATGATTATATTGTTGATAAAGAAAAGATTCGGCCTCACCTTTGAACCATTCGCGGTGAACCAAAATAATGAGAAAAATAACGCGGATATAAAGCCAAACTCTTAAAAGTATTCCATGCTGAGGATCATAAATGCAACTACATCCATCGAGCAGAAAAATTAATACATCTGGAGCTAGCCAAATCAAGGGTTACTTTACCGCAATGCCCTTGGTGAGGCGGCATCAAATTCAAAATTACCTGTATGAAAAGAAAATTCGGAATAATAGTGGTTTTTTTGTTTTATCTTCTATCTGTTTTATTATTTTTTCAATTATTATTAATTTTTATAAATAAATAAACGGTTTAAACGATTTTTCTTTTTTTGCTTTTAAAATTGCATATTTCGATAAGTTGGATCTCTTGATAAATCGGGCCACACTTATTGAAATAAGTTTATCACAACTTAATAAAAATTTATTAGTAAAAAATAGTTTTAATATTAACAACTATAACAATATAGTTTGTAAATATGACTAATGAGTTAGAAGATCAAGATCGATTACTTTGTGTTGGAACTAATTCATCATTTAAAGTTTAAAAATTTTTTTTTTAAATGGATAAAACAGCAAACAACTGAAGACCGAAGTTAAGTGGTCTGTATGATAACGGGCACGCACATTTATTTTATGGCTGAAATGGATTTTAGAGAGTAACATAGTGGTCAAAATGAATTAAATGGACAAGCTAGGCTGATACGACTAGAGCCGAAATAGATTTTGGAGAGTAACGTGAGGCAATTTTTGCTATAATTGCGGTCAAATTTTCTAAAACGGTTAAAATAGTTTAATTAGGCTAATATCCGGGTATTTAATGGATATAAGTGATATTACTTCTTACTTACAAGGAATTGATGAAATTAGAAAGGATAACAACAAAACACGAGATTGGTAAGGAGATAAAGGAAAACATTTAATCACATATTATAAATAGTTGGATTTTATCCAATCGTTAAAGGATGAATCTGAAACTTGAACAAAAATATTTAAAAGTGTGGTATATGTTACGTTCATTGGTAATTGTTTCACGAATATAAACGGGTTGAATACTGCAGTAGAAAGTCTTGCAGTTTGGCGTCATCTAAACGTAAGAATAAAAGTAGAACAGGTTCCGATTACCAAAAAATACGAACTAATTAATTATTAGGAGAGTGTGAATTCGGTGTAGGTGAAGTTGGTAAAGGTCAAATTGATCAAGGAATGTGGACTCAAAAGACCAAGATGTTAAAGGGTATGTTTATGTTGATTGGCAAGACAATAAATTTCATAAATTAGAATCTCTAGTTTCATACATGCTGACAAGTATTCATTTTAAATGCATATATATAATAATATTAGCTACAACTATATTGTTTGTATATGATGCTATTAAGAATGGATGCACAGTGTGTATATAGCCATAACTGAGAAAACTGAAGTGAGCATTATTATTACTTTTATTATTATTCTCATCTCTCAAGTCCAAAACATCCAAAACTTTGGCAAATAATTAGAAATCTATCAAAAAATATTGGTAGATTCGATTTTAAAGGTGGAAATATAATTGTTCAGATGGGAAAAAATCTGCAAAATTATTCAAATAATAATCAATGAACATTTTTTAAAAACGAGTGACGATGATTTAAAGAAAATTCCTTTTTTTTTCATTAAATACATATATACAATGACGTTTAGTTGTTTTTAAAAGAACCTTTTAATGATACTAAAATATTCCAAGTTTCGATTAATAATGCACTAGAAGAAGGAAAAAATAGAGTTAATTAAATAAAGTACCAATTGATATTTTGAAGAACGGTTTGTCAAGTAGAAAAATCTCATCTACAAAATGAAAACTAGATCCTTATTATTATTGAATTTATACTTTTGGATTTATTATTTTATATAGAGGATATCTAACAATTAAAAAATTATGAAACAAGAAAAAATTTAATATCATAATACTAAATTTTGATCTCTGAAATTTCTTGTTTGGTTTTGTTGTAATATGTCCAAGTTTATAATATAAGCAATTAAATGTTGCCTCAGACCAGTAGCCCAGCCGGGTCTATTACATCCATGTATTATGACTAACTTGCAAAAACTATAGTTTATTAGAGACGAAATCACCCGGTCTTTTAGGAAATCACAAGGGGAAATTTTACAATTTACATATTAATATAGACATATATAAAATGGCCGAACTTTGAAGCCTTATAACTCAAAACTTTTTTAATAAAGTGAAAAAAAGTAAACCGATAGAATGAAGCTTAGGTCTTTAGCTTTAATTCTATCGGTTTAAGCTTTTAAAGTCATGTGATAATCATTGACTGTTATAATATAAAAGTATATGGAGTATTTCCTCTATTCTTTTTGCTTATTTTTTTTGCCTGCTCAAGGAGAAATTTTTAGTTAGCTATTCTTCAAAGCTTCATCGTCACCACTTTTAAGAAGAATCAAGTTGCCCCTAAATGAATGTTACCAAAAATAAAAGCCGTTAATACCATGATCACATTATACTGTGATGTTAACCCTGCAATTCATTTGTGAGATAATGCTCATTCTGTTTCCATATTATAAAGATGAATAAAAATATATTTATTACATGTGTATAAATTAATCAATAATTCACTATTATTATAATTATTATAATAAATTTTTTCATTTTTGCTTTTTTAAAAATTTTTCAGATTATTTTTTTTTCTTTTATTTCTTCCTTCTCAATACCATTTTTCATTGTTCAATCAAAACTATATTATTACTACTACTATTATATTATATAATAAAAGTTAATAGTTATTATTACTCTCTCGTTGTACTCTACTAATATAAGCTCTAGATACTATGTTCCATGCTTCCATATAACGATCCATACATTTAGCAACACAAGTCTATTCAAATCAAATCAATTAAATCAGTAAGTAGTCAATTAAAAAATAATAATGGTAATAATAATATTAATCAATTAATTAATTACTTGTTCACCAGTATCTAATTTATTCCCTGGTTTCATTATACATTTTGCAAAACATTTCTCATTCATTTTCTAGATTGTTTAGATTATTTAGAGATGAAAAAAATATAATATTTTTATTAATGCTACTCTGATTGATTTATTAAATAAATATATTAATATTATTATATATAATTTTCAATCCTATGCCTGCAAACAATGATGAAAATTATATATAATTTAATCAACTTAGCAAGATTTTTCCTTGCTCACATTATATTTCGCGTACGTTAATAAGTTCTTGTGCATTAGCTAATGCTAACTCATTTCTGACTTGATCCATAACTGCTTGTTTCTTTGAGTCCCTGTTTATATATATATATATGATTTTAAAAAATAAAAATTTGAATAAAAAATTACACATTTTTAAATCAATTCATATTATATATATATATATTTCTATACATTTTGCTAGTTAAAGTAAATAGTAAAGAATTGGAAATCTACGATTTGACACAATTTAAAAATTTTTATATTGAAAAGAAAAAGATTTAACAAATTGATCACTAAAATTTGATTATCTACATATTAATATTTTTGTAACACGGTTAAAAAACTATAAAATATAAAAATGTCAACTTCTACAAATTCAAATAATGAAAAACAACCTACCATACTCTTGTGCATAGGTATGGCAGGCTCTGGCAAAACAACTTTAATGCAGGTAATTAGATATTGTTACTTAACTTTCTCTAGACTCATTCCCAATTCAAAAGAAATTCATTGACAGGTTTCTTTTGTATTTTAAGAGATTAAATGCGTATCTTCACAGTATCAAGAAATCACCTTATATAATTAATCTTGATCCAGCGGTCACTCAACTTCCATTTGCCGCAAATATAGACATTAGAGATACTGTAAATTATAAAGAAGTTATGAAACAGTAATTATTTTGAAAATTGATGCTTCTTATAATTATTACTATATAGCATTTATCAATATTTACCAATACAACTATTAAAAAAACAGATACAATTTAGGACCTAATGGTGGAATTTTAACAAGTTTAAATTTATTTACAACAAAATTTGATCAAGTTTTGGATCTTATATCAAAACGTTCTTCATCTCTAGAGTAGATATATATATATATATATATATAATTTTATTCTTTAAAAGATTTCCAAAAAATTTAAAAAAATATAGTTATATTGCTTTAGATACACCTGGTCAAATTGAAATATTTACATGGTCAGCTTCCGGAGCCATTATCACTGATGCTTTAGCTGCATCCTACCCATGTGTAATCGCGTATATTATAGATACGCCTAGAACAACAAGTCCTGCAACATTTATGAGTAATATGTTATATGCCTGCAGGTAAATTAAATATTGTAAATACATTTAATGTTATTTAGTATTTAATATTAATTTATTAAATAATTGATAAATTTTGATTATTTTCCTAGCATTTTATATAAAACTAAATTGCCATTTATACTGGTTTTCAATAAGACAGATGTCATCTCTCATCAATTTGCTATTGATTGGATGACTGATTTTGAATCTTTTCAAGAAGCTCTTCAAAAAGATACCAGTTATATGACTAGCCTTATGAATTCCATGTGTTTGGTATTAGAAGAATTTTATAAACATTTAAGGGTAACAACAATGAAAATGAATGAAAAAAAGTTTTTTTTTTGTTTTTAAATATACAAAATTGTTAATCAATCATTATCCAATTAATTATCCGTGTGTAGGTAATTGGTGTATCAGCAATGTCGGGATCTGGTATGGATAAATTTTTTGAAGCTGTAGGAGAAGCTGTCAAAGAATATGAAGAGTATGTTGTCACTTATGACTATATGTGTAGTTATGGGGAAGAATTGAAATTGGCTAATAAAATAAAAAATCCGGTCCGAAAACAGTGTATATAGACCAGAATTGGAGAGATTAATAAAAGAAAAGGTATAATAATAATAATCTTACAATTTCTTTTGAATAGTTGAATAATTATTGAATATCTTTAATTTTCTTTTGGTTATCTACTTCCAAGTCACAACGACAAGAAGCTAAAAAACAAGCGCAACTCACTAAATTAATGAGGGATATGAATATGTCTGATACTTCGAAAACAATAGGTAGATCATTATTGGATTCTTGTATATATATTTATTAGCAAAATTTATTTTAACGCATTCATTATTTGACACAAATCTTTTTTTGGTAGACCCGATGAACGAAGGTTTTAATAATAACATTGATGATGACGATGATGACGATGATGATGACGATGATGATGATGATGAGGGAAATGATGCTAGAGGAATTGGTTTTGAAGGTGGAGAAAGGAATGATAAAATAATTTCAATACTTTTAATATTGTTGTTTTTAATATTATTATTTACTTTAATCTTTAGATCCTGATTATAAAGCAATGAAATCACATCAAGATAAACTCGAGGATGAAAGTTTTGCTAGATGGATAAAGAAAACTAAAGAAGGTGGGGGAGTATTTATGTAGTTTGTTTTTTTTGTATTCCATTCAGGTACGTGATGTATTAGGTGGGATTATATGATTATGATTATAATTATAAAAAAATAATAGTGAATTCTTTCTTTCCAACAAATTAAAGTGTCTAATAAATATTAAAGTGAATTTACATCCAACAAAGACCATCTGTCCCATTTATTTATTATCATTACAATTACATCATAATTACATATTAATTAAAATGCTTGGTAATATATTTATTCTTTAATTTATCAGCAAGGAAAATAAAAAATAAAAAATCGTGTGAAAATCACCTTGTAAGTTGTCGCACTTTAATCTCGTTTTAGTAGTTTATTTACGTACGTGGCACATTTTATTTTTTTTTTGTGCAGAGCATTCAATATTTATTAGTATTATATAAATAAGATATTTTTTTTTCCTTCTCTATACATAAAAAAAGAGAAATTATTTTAAAACATATATATCTCTTTTTTCATGTGACAATAATTTACGTCATTCTTTTATATTTTTCTCGATATTTTTTTTTGGATCTTTGAAAGATTGAAAAGAAAAAATTATTAATAATATTAATATTGAAACAAATAAAAAAAAATTTGTTTCTTTCATTCTTGTTATGACTTCAGCTTTTTCATTAAGTAATAATAATAACAACAATCTTAATATTTTACAATTTGACGCAAAGGTACAAGCAGCTAATGATTTCTATAATTGGATACGGCAGAACATTATCGCTTTCCTTTTATTTCTATCATTGTATACAATATCATATTCAATTTTACAAAAGTTTAGAAAAAGATACAAGGGTAGCTCAGATATAGAGGATGAGGATGAGATATTTGGTGGTATTGATGAATTGGTCATAATAATAATGTGTGCTGCTGGTTTAGCAATGGCCTTTGCTGGTTTTTTATTACTACCATTCACAATGATAGCAACTGCATTATTACATGATGAAATTCACTCGGAAAATTATTATTTAAGTTGGCTGGATAGTAATTTATTGGTTACTTTGTGGAATTACACGTTTATGGGATGTAATTTTGCTTTGTTTGTGTTATTACCTTTTGCCTTTTTCTACAATGAAACAGATCAACTTAAAACTTTTTGGGTGAAAGCTCAAGAAACGGCCACGATTATGTTACTGGTTGGTGTGCTGATGTACATTTTTATATACATGTCAAGATTGATTTTAGGAATAGAAAATATCGATTTTTGGGTTATATTGAATTTGTTGACTTGTATGGGCGGTGCATGGATCTGTTTGAAGGCGACACCGATCGGTTACATACAAATATTTTCCTGCATCAGTGAACTTCCATTGAGACCTAATTATCGTAATCAATTAAAAGATTCCTTGATAGAAAATGAAATGGAAACTAGTGTTTTGTTACAACATTTGGAAAATGTGGAACGTGGATGGAAATCACCTGTTTATGCTGCTAATCTAAAATCTCGTTCTCAAGCTCTAATGACGGCAACATCGCCATCAACATCTGAATCAAACTACAACAATGATTCATTACAATGTTGTTCCTCTTCTGAACAGTTATATTCTACAATTAATAATGGAATTATTAATGGCAGTGTTGATGTCGATTCTGGTACTGATGATCATAATATTAAGAATGTTTTAGTGAATAATGGTATTGGCAACACTTCTACTTTTACATCTATTTCATCACCATCAAAGTCAAAGCATGTTAATAATAACAATAATAATAATAATAATAATAATAATAACAACAATAATAATAATAATAACAATAGCAACAAAAACAACAATAGAAATAATAATAACGGCGGCGGTAAAAATAAAAGTAATAAAATCAAAAAAAATAACAACAATAATAATCCTTTAAAAGAAGGAATTCTTAACAGTCTTAAAATTCTTGAAAATCAAAGATCAAGGTTACAACGTGATCTATCAAAATCACCTTTATATCGTAATATAGCATTTTTTATATTATTTGTAATCAGTCATTCAATATGGTTTTTATTGCTTGGTCACATATTATGGTCATTTATTAAAAGTTTATTGGTGGATGATGAACAAAAAGAGTTACATAAATTGGAATCAGTATTTGGTAAACAAACAATGTCAATATTTGGTAAATTTGATACAGTTAGTGATATAGCATTGATATTTTATTTCACAAGTGCAACCATAATTGGAGTTTATTCCATTCAACCATTTAAAAGAATACGTCCAAGATTTGGCATTAGTAGTAATAGTCATAGCAGAATGGGCTTGCAACATATTATAGCTAACGTTACGGTTTTATTGGTGATTAGCAGCAGTTGGCCCGCTTTAGTTAGAGTTTTGGGATTGATAAGACTGGATTCGGCTGGACCTTATGAACAATTTCATAAATTAAATAATACCGGTCAATTATTGGCTATAGCTTTTCGTCTTGGAGTTTTAATTACTACGGTGTTTCCTATTTTGGATTATTATGTTTTAAGAAGTATATCTGGTGTGAGATTGACAATAGACAATGATAGTGGCGATGGTAACGATGGCATTATTGATAATGGTAATGGTCTTGAGAATAGCCATCTAGTTAATGGGTTTAATGGTTTGATTGGTAATGAGATTAGTTCGTCTCATGTGAATGGTCATTTAAATTATCATGATGAGATGGATGAATCAACCTATAGTTTACAAAGTAATGATTATTATTACGGGACTGCTGAGGGAAGTCAATTAATAACAAATGGACATCATGACAACAATTTTGATAATTATTATTATGATGATGACAATGAAGATAATAACATAGTAATAAAAGAAGTAGAAGACAATTAAATGGAGTTCATGATTATTGTAATCATGACAATTATCATAATGGGTTTCAAATGATGATGATAATTATAATTTACATAATAATAATCACCACTATCGTCATTACTGACATATTTCCAATCAAACTATTAATAAGATGATTTTAAAAACATTAACAACAAAAAAGAGCATCACCAATAATACCATTTTTAATTATGACATCTAATTAAATATATATTTTATTTATTATTATAATAATTTTTTAGAATTTACTAAATATTATTATTTATATCATTTTTAAAGGGGTAATTGGTATTTTTTTTTTTAAAAAAAAGTATATATTATTAATATTATTTTTTAATTCATAATTTCATAATATCGTTTATTTTTTAATTTTGTTTGCAACAAAAAAAAATTTTTAATCAAGGCATATATATATGTATATAATAACTAATAGTCTATAGCTTTAATTTTTTAAATAATAATTTAATAAATAATTTATCAATACATGCATATATATATAAATAATTATATGGCTAATCACATGCTCAAGCCAGATTGTGTTTTTGTAAAATAAAAACGGGTCAAATATTATACATGAAAAGCCTTTTATTAAAAAAATATTATATGGATATATTATTTACACATTATAAATTGTATATAAATTGTACAAACGTTAAGGGATTGATTATTATTAATTATTGATTTTATCTTTTAATAATTTACTAAAAGGTTGCCAAAGTCTTAGTCTATTAGCTGCATTGCCCTCTAATTTTCTTAAAGCATTATTATGCCTAAAAACAGCATTTTTTTGATGTATGATTCTTTCAACCATCAACCTACCTTTTTTATGATCCTCTAACCATCTAAATGTCTCTAGCTTATTTTTGATCAATTGTACTCTATTGTTATAATTGGTTATATAATCTTCATATCCATTCTGTTCTAATATATTTAACACTATATTGCGTCGTGTGTTTGAACCAAATTTTCTAAATAGATTTAACAGTCTGATCACATCATCTTCATTAATTCTAACATCATACTTGAAAAATTCTCTAAAATATACTATACTTAAATTTAAATTATTATCATCTATAAAAGTATTTATTATTACTGATAATATTTGAGAGTTTGGCTTTAACTTGTATTTTAAAATCATTCTTTGATACCAACATTCCATTTCGTTAAATTTTTTTGCTAAACCACATCCTTTAATTATACTGGAAAATGTTGGATATACTATAGGTATCTTGTCATTTTCCATTTCATCCAAATAATTTTCTAAGATTTCTATTGATGACGAACTTGCTAATTTATTTAATAAAATATTATATAAATTTCTATGGTTCTGATTTTCTGCTATTATTTTTGATTCTTTTAAATATTTAAAAACCTTTTCAATAATCGATGGATCTGGTAGCCTGGCTGCTGTTTTCAATATTGATTCAAGCGATCCAAGCGTCAATCTTATATTTGATTTTTTTTTCAACAAATCTATCAAGTAAAAAACCTTATCCAAATCACGATTGTTCAAATATGCATTTATTAATGCTTTATAAATTCCAAAATCTATTTTCAAGTTCTCTTTTAACATAACATTGAATATGTCTAACGCATTATCAGGTTTCTCACCTTTTACATGATCATCTATTATTATTGCATAAGTTGTCAAATTAGGCTTTACGTTGTGCTTTTGCATGTGTCTATAAACCTCTAATGCATCTTCATAATCTGATTCTTGCAATTCGGAATACAACATTAAATTATAATCAATCAACTTTGGCATTGTATTGAATTCATCTCGCAACATTCTAATCGCCTTTATACCTACAATACCAATAGATTCTAGTATCTTGGCATCAGGTAGAATACCATCTTTTTTCATCAGCTCAAAATATTCCAGTGCCAATTGTTCCTCTCCTATTTTTTTCATAAATCCTATAATAATATTATATGTTATGATTGTTGGTTGTAGTTTTCTGGATTTCATTTCATTAAATAACTCAATTGCCTTTGAAGGATCTCTATGAGTTTTTGAAATAACCGATAATAATGCATTGCACACTATAGTATCAGGTTCTATTCCATCTTCTATCAACTTGTTAAACAAACCTAAAGCCTTTGGATAGTCATACATTTCACCGCATGCTTTGATTAGTAGCGTGTACGTTTTGTTGTTCCTCTCGACACCTTGACTCACCATATTATCAAAAAAATAAAATGCACTGCGTAAAAATAAACTACGATTACTTTTTTGTTCCGTGTTAATATACCCAGATATTAGAATATTGTAGCTTATGGTATTTGGCTTGACATCATCATTGAAAAAAGCTTGAAAATATTCATACAGAGTAGTCAAGTCACCTATCCTCACACAAGATGTCATCAAGATATTGTAAGTTGACACATCCAATTCAACATTTGGTAGTTCCTCCATTTCATAAATTATAGAATTTATTTTTGTGTAAAGATCAGGATTTTGAGGCAAATACTTTAGAAAGGAGGCGAGTAATTGATTGAAATCATAGATTGTTAGTGCCAATAATCGTTTAATACTAAGGTTCTTATAATTTGTCCAGATTTCTTCGATGCTTTTGTTTTCTACATCAATTAATGGTTTTCCATTAGAATCCAAAGTGAGTTTTCTAGTCGTGTAATACGATAATTCGTTTTGATCGTACTCTTCTTCCAAGTGTTTGCTTAAGATTATTCTATCCAAATCTTTTGATAACATGTTTGTTCCAAATGTGTTAATATCTTTTAATTTATTAATATATTTTATATCGTCCATTGATAAAATTTTTTGATCTTTTAGTATACTGCTACCACTAGATGATGGTGATGGTGGTGGTGGCGATAACGATGGTGGTGACAATGAATCAACAAAACCTTCATCAATATAAATGTTACTTTTGAAATGTGCTGGATTTTTAAAACTTAGATTAGTAGTCGAATAATTTTTATAGTAATGATGGTTACGATTATGATTATTTAATCTTTTTACAAAAATTAATTTGACTGATGATTCCATTAGGAAGAATGTATTAAAATTATGATTTATTAATGATTGTGTTGATTTTGCTACTGATATCGGTGATATAAATGAATTTGCCAATATTATATTAATGTTGTTGCTTTTATTATTATTATAATTGATTTTATTTAAAATTATCATAAAATAGTCTTTACATTTCAAATAACTTTCTTTAAACATTTTTTTTCTTTTTGTAAAATTGTCAAATTGTCTGATCATTATATAGCTTTTTAATGTTGTACAAGATTTCTAGGATGATAATAATAATTTTATAAAATTTGAAAATATGTCAAATAACAACATCAAACAAATCTCCTGTGAAAAGAAGTCCGTTTGTGATTAGGATGAGTGCTTACAGCCTTCTGATTCATTTCTTCTTAAAAAGAACATGTTACTTCCTGATTAAGAGATTTTAAGATTGTTGGTTGAATGCGAGTACTCCTACATTAGCACCCCAAAATAATAATAGATAGTAGTAATATGAAATTTGCGAGAATTTACCGCTGTCTTTAACCTAATTTTGTGACACCTGGCATCTGTAGATATTAATATATTTGGGGTTGATCCCAGATGATGGAAACGAAATTGAAAATTTTGCCGATAGAACATTGAAAGGAGTCTTGTGCCTCGTTATAGCGAACAGTCATCCATTTATGACCGCTCGCTCTTTTTAACAATTGGTAAAGAATTGTTATTAGCTCTCCAAGGAAATTGATTGGAGGGTTGGATGTTAGCTAGTCAAGTGATGAATTTTGAATTTTGAGTTTTTTAAATTAACATTTAACATTTGCATCAATATTTATACAATCAATGTAATATTTGATACGTGTAATACTTTTAAGGCTGAATAATATACCCAATACGAACGTTAAAATATTTTGTTCACTCCATTTACTTTACTCATATTGCATATACTAATACATATAAGTTTCCACTTCTGGCTCTGGAATGACAGACAAATGGGAACCCATGCATGAATTTCGCAAATTCGATTTTATGTTACTCTACATGGTCTCCAACCGCAGCTGCATTATGGATGACCATTTGCAAAAGGTCTACACCCCCTTGCCACATACTTGTTGTCAATTGTTCAATTTGGATGCTGCCAGAGGTCCTGGTCAGTATCGTGTCGATCTATGCATTGCTTAATATTACTCTTCAAGTCTTTAATGTTGTTAGTAGTGTAAAACAGGAATTGGCTCAATGCAAGTAAAAGGTGAAAAAGGCGATTTGCTAATAATACGTACTAGTACCAGTACTAGTACTATACGAATCTCTAATTTAATTAAAAATTTTTTATTAAAAGGAGAATTAAATTTTCTTAAAATAAATAAATAAAAGTATTATATACAACAACATTATATAAAAATTCGAACTTTCCACTACTACCAATTACCATGCTACTAATTATTTTCATCTATTACTATAAATTAAGAAAATCCAATATTAAATAAATAACATTAATAACATTAATAAATATTAATAAATAAATAGCAAATGAATCAAAGTATATCTATAACGTTATCAGTGATAAAAAATTTTTTTCATTCTATATTCTTTATTAAAAATTTTTTAAGGGTACTTCTAATATTATTAATTGTTCTTCAAAAAAAAAATTTTTATTTAGATGTCTTGAATTTAAGTAAAGGTGCAAGATCTGACAATGGACAAGATTTCTTGAGAAATTCATGCTATTTTATTATTAAAATATTAGTAAATTAGTTTTAAAATATTTTTAATTCAATTAAAATCAAATAATTTTTAATAACAGTAATAATTACATCTAAAAGCTCCAAAGCTGTTGAACGTTTTCCAACATCTACACATAAACATACGGCCAGAAACCTTTTAAGTTCCATAGATAATTTATCAGGTTTCTTTAAAGTTGGAGTTCCATTTGTTGCAATTAAATATAGGGCTTTCAATGGTTCTTCATCTAGGTATGGTGGTTCATTTTCTATCATTTCAATTGCCATAATTCCAAGAGACCAAATATCAACCTTGGCGCCATACTCTTTTTGTTTAACGACTTCAGGTGCCATCCAATATGGTGTACCGACCATTGTTGCTCTTTTATTTTTTTGTTCGGTTAATTTGGCACAAAATCCAAAATCGGCTATAAAGTAAAATAGATTATGAAGACGAGGTATTGTTAGTGTTAAAAATCAATTTTTTTGGCTATATATGTATAAATTATAATTTTTTAAAGAAAAAACCACTCCTTACTTATTTTTACATGACCATAAGCGTCTAATAAAACATTATCACTTTTAATATCACGATGAATGATACTCCGTTCATGAAGATGCTGAAGTCCTTTACAAGTCTATTTTTAAAAAAAAAATTTTTTTTTGTAGTTAGTTTAACCAAAATCACCTTTGCATTCATATAAATATAAAGACTTATATATATATATATATATATTATACCTCAAAGCATATAGAAGCAATTTGATCTTCTTCTAATGAGTTATTGTCAATCACGTCTGTTAAAGGACCACCTTCCATGTATTCCATTATAACCCAAAGTTCATTACTTTTTACTAAATATGAATCAAGATAATTTACAATATTTGGATGTCGAGATTCCTTCATTACAAGAATTTCATTAACAATCAATTCTTTTCGTGGTTGATGTGAAAGATCCATTTGTTTTATAGCTACTTTGGAATTAGAAGTGGTTGCATAGGATTTGGCAACGTAAACCGACCCAGATGCACTATTATTATTAAATAATTAATTAATATTTGAAATAGAATTATTAAATATATATATATATATATTAATTCATACCCTTGACCAACTTTCTTGATTTTACTATATATTGATGTTGGATCTCCCTGTGTTACCACAGATCTTAGTTTTTCCATAATTTGTGCTTCTGTCATTGTACTAATCCTTTTTTCTGGTGGTGGTTTCTTTTGAGTTACTTGTGTCGGTTTTTGATTTTGTGGTTTTGAAACTGTTGCACTAGGCTCATGATGTTGGTGTTGTTGCTGCTTCTGCTGCTGCTGCTGCTGCTGAGGTTGTTGTTGTTGTTTCTGAAGTTGTTGTTGTTGCTGCTTCTGCTGTTGTTGCTTTTGCAAATATTGTTGTTGTTGATTTTGATTTTGAACAGAATTAGAAGATTGTTGAAAATTTGATTGTGAAAGGTTATTTGAAGAGGAAGAATAATAATTATCAGCTGTAAGTTGAGATGTTGCCGATGTATTTTTTTGTTGATACAGTTGTTGTGGTGGTGGTAATTGTTGTTGTTGCTGTTGTGGTGATGGTGGTGGCAGCTGCTGTTGTTGATACTATAGTGATAAAAAATTTTAATTTTAATTTAAATTCAAATTAAAAATTTCTATTTTAAAAAAGAATTAAAAAAAAAAACAGATCAAAACCAATAATAAACATAAAATAAACTCATACTGGAGTTGATTGTTGTGAATTGTATAGATACTAAATTTTACCAAAATAAATATTAATGTGTTAATATTTAATATACAAAAATCGATCTTCTAATATTTAAGTGTATATATATATATACTTACATTATCATCTTGTCTACCATCTACTAAACCTTGATTATTGTTATTATTACCATTACCATAATTATTATTATTACCGTTACCATAATTATTATTATTCATTTCTCCTCTATCATTATAATTATTACTCATTCCATTTTGATTATTATACATTGAATTGTTTTGCGCCATGTTATTATTATAAAAATTATTGTTATTATTATTATTATTATTAAAGTTATTATTGTCAATATTATTATTATTATTATGATTATTGTTGTTATTATTATTATTGTTATTATTTTTTGGTAATAGATCGGCCCATTTATTATCACCATTATTTGGATATCTTGGTATTGGACCAATTGCATCAAGATCATCATATCCTTCATTTTCTCTCTTTTGATTTTCTGTATAAAATTCTAACACATCTAAAACAGCCTGTGGATTTTTCTCATAATCTTCTTTTGTTATAGCTGAAGCTGTTAATAGCTTTGACCATTGATCAGGCATTCCCTAAAAAGATATGATATTATTATTATTAAATTATATTTTCATTGCCATTGCTTATAATAACTTTGGAAAAAGTACATATCACATATTAATAATTTTACGTACCGTAAACATTCCACTCACTGGATCAAATCCTACATGTACATTATGAACAAAATTTGTCGGAGTTGAAACACCACTTAATGGAGATCGCTATTTTATATTGAGTATTGAATATACGATACATATATATTTATAAGAATACAATTAATGATTTCTTTAAAAAAAACATTTAAATAAATATCATTACTACTCACACTATAAATTTCGTCCATCCAAGAATATAATTCTTCGTCATTTTTACAAGAAAGATAATAATTTTTATCTTTTGTTTGAACTTCAAAACAATATGGTTTTAATTCTGTTCTTTGAAGATTTTTAATTTCTTTAAGAAAAATTAACGCAACTGCTTGATATGTATTCTGAAAAAAAAAAAAATAATAAATTCGATTTTTCCAATTAAATAATTAAAACAGTAAACTGGCTTTAATGTGAAAAATTCCAGATGAATCGTAAATACCTCGTTCCGATGAAATGTTAAAGTTTGTTCTCTTAACAATAACCATCTCTTTGACCATAGAAAAGCCCTTAAGCCTTCCTCTTTAACAGCAATATACCCTTTTTTTACAACTTGTGAATTATTCATTCGGTGTATATATTTTTTTTTTTTGTTTCAAAAAAAAAAATTTTATTATTTTTTCCATTTATTTTTAATTTATGCAAATTATTTTGCCGGGGGGTTTCAATTGTGCCACGTGAGATAAATTAGTCAAAATTATGAAAGGTTCTTACGTTTAAAAACCACCCGTTCGTTATAGTTATTATTATGCCGAAATTGCTATATTAATATAGGTCATAACGCGAATTTAATTATTATTATTATTATTTATAAACGTCAAATGATCACCCGACTTTAAAACAAAATTTTTAGTTCAAAAATTTTTTTTGAAGTGCTATAAACCTTTACAACAAATTCAAAATTTCGGACTAAAATCCTTTTCATAAAAGGTAAGTGATCGATAATAATTTTCTCTAGTTTGGGTTACTATGAAGTTTTGCACCAACAAAATAATCAATTTTTTTTTGTTTGGATTTAATTAATCTGTTTTCCTAAATGAACAACGATCGACATAAATTTTTTCGCAATACAAATAAATTGCTTATATTGGGTAAGCCTAGATTTATATAAAATTTCGGATTATTGATGTTTATACGGTACGGGTCATCTATAATCAGCAATAGCGATTTGGTCAGGTTCAAAAATACTAAAACAAAATTTTTATATCATTTTAAAAAAGTTGATCGGTAACTTTTATTGTTCATGGTTCAAAGTTTCAAAACTTATTGTCTTTCTTAAATTAAAAGTTGGCTGAGCCTCAACATTTTAAAAATTCCAAATTTGTTATATATAATTTTTTAAAAAATTGAGACTAAGTAAATTTCGTGTAACAATTTTTTTCATACATAGAATATTTTATTGATTAAATACATGATTTATTTATATTATTTATTTCCTTTTTTAATTAATAAATAAAAATTTTTACAAAAAAGTTTAACGAACATACATATTACATTAAAAGAAAATCATTAACAAATTTGGTCGTAAAGTTTAAAAATATGGTAATATAGAAATTATTTATTGTTGAGAATATTTTTTTTTACACCCAAATTGAATGGTGGTGGTTTTTTCAATCCAACATGTGATGGATCTGATGATATTTCAAATTTCTAACTTTCGAGTCATGTCAGTTGATTTGGTTTTTGGGGCTTTTTTTCAAACTTTATGCACATGAAAACTCATTAGGTTAGTTGTTTATTTATTTCAAACAATTGATTGCTGCATCTAACTTAATGAGTTTACTACCTCAAAACAAATGTATTTTTTGTTAGTATAAGGTATTATAACATTATGATCATACCATACTGAATTTTGGGTTCAAAAAAAATCAGCGCATATGTGTGGATGATCTGCACTGTAAATGACATGCAGTTGTTACACTAAATCAGCCTATAGCTAACTATGGCTTCATAGAAAATCATCATCATTTGCTGCTGCCACCAGCTAGACATATCCTGCCACAATTAAAATGGCAGAAGAGAGGTCAGTAAGCCTCACTTATAAATAGATCAGGTCTCTCTCCATAAGTGTTTGTGTACAAAAAAAATGTTCCTTATGTTATGGGCAGCATTATCATCTTGATTCTAATGTATCAGACAGACTAATTCTCAGACTGACAGATCAAAATTCTTGATGCTTATCAAACCACCATTATACCAAAAACAGACTAAGGATGTACAGAACTCATTAATGTTCACCATCTTTCAGTGTTTAGAAGTTTTTGGCACATATGATGTTGATTACCAAATATTATCATCATTACCATTTTTTATTCTCTTGGACAAAATATCAAAGGTCTTTTGTTTGTTAATAAAAGGTTTCATCACAAATAATGCCAGTGATGTTCAACTAATGTCTATGAATATGGCTCATACCTCACTTACATTCTGTTTTATCTCAATATAATCCTTGATTTCATGGAAGTAATGTTACTATTGCAAATTAAATTAACAAAGTTATAGCTCATCTTGAATAATGGCCTAAAGATTTTTTTTTGTTTTTCTAACCACAACTCACATTTTTTGCAAGCATGAATAAAACCCTGCTAAGTTCCAGTACTCATTATTGGAACAGCTCACAACTTTTTCATCTGGACTCGCTGCTACAAACAGATATCTTCCAGGATCCAGCCCAAATACTTTGCATCCATTCCGAATAATAATCGATCCTTCTTCATCAGCATCCTCTTTATTACCGTCAACTTTCTTCTGCAGGCCAACTGATACTGCAAGGCAAGACATCAGTCTGTATGGAATAAGTAAAGGTAAAGATTCAATTTTGGGTGGTGACTTATTAATATTAAACGCTTCCATCCACCAAGCTCCTCTTTCAGCTCTGAATCTTTGAATAGCTGTTACTCCTAATTTTTCAATTGATTTGTACATGTAAAATAAAGTATCAGTATCAACTAATATCTACTTTTGTTGGAAAGAGTGTTCAGGCCAAAGTGTGAAGAGGCAAAGACCACATTCCTGGTTATGCTTAGTAAAGATGGAAAGGATTTTGTGGAAATCTGAAAGATATGGCCACCGAGATTCTTTTACAGATGCATCATCAAGAGCTTAATTTTGGAATAATGTCTGTTGCACTTTCACTTTCAAGTGAACATATTGGATGCAGGTGATATTGTGTGATGTAGAGAATTTATCAATAATCTTCGAAGGAAGAGAAGGGGACCTCGATTTTTCAAGTGGGTGATGAAGTGGTTTATGACGAAGTCAATGTGTTTTTTGGTAAAAGAGATAATTTATAATTTATCCATCTTGTCGATTGTTGAGATTAGTTGTACTGACATATTGTCACGCAGCAGAGGAGAGAAGTTGTCATAACGATTTTTTATTTGCCCAATTCATTCCTCGAGGTCGATATGTGTATAGAGGGTATCTTGAATGTTATTTATGATGGGTTCTTTGGTGGTGTCAGGAGTGTTTTGGTATGTAGTTACAACTTGGAAACATTGCCGCATGTACTTGAAAGCACCTTCGCTTGTGTTGAAAGGAAATTGGTCACCAATGGTCACATGATAAAGTGCTAACCAACCGAGAGCCTTCAAAAACAATTCGAGTCATTCCTTCAACAGCACCTTGGATTGCAAGTTCAGGATCTTTATCTTTTAAGAATTATTTCTAGTCCAGTTTGACTCTGCATTGTTCGTATTTTGTGTCTTTTTCCTAAATAGGTTTACGTGCACAACGTTTTTGAAATTTACAACGACTGTTTGAAGAACGTGAATGATTAGTTCCCTTGCAAGTTGGACAAGGACGCTCTAAAATAAAAAAATAAAAAAATATCACTAGATAGATAAATGGTAAATATTTATTTGTATTCCTCGTTTGCTTTTCTTTTAGCTGCATTTTAGAAGATTCCGCATGTGGTAATGTTTAAATTAAAATAAAATGTAATCAAATAAAAATTTTTAATTTTTCATTTAATATAAAAATAATTAAGATTACATACATAATTCAACAATTAGTATAGTACAATGAACAATTCAATAAAAAATAATGACAATTCAAAAGATTATTAGCAATATGTTGTTTCAGTTAAAAGGCTTTCTAAATAACATAAATATTACTAATTAGTTTATTTAAAAATAGTCACAACTCAGAAAATTATTAATTTCGCGACGCCCAATGTAATTAATTCTTCATTGGGCGTGTACATTGTATAACAATTAACAAATTTATAAGCGGGGAAGCTTTTATTAATAATAAATGACTTGCTTGAGGGTGGAAATGTCATCGATGTAGTTTCTATTCGTAATTCGTAATACAAATTCTTACTCGTTTTATTCGAACAAAACAATAAACCTTATTCGAATAGAAACACTACTATTATTATTATCAATGCAAGAACTGTGAAGGAGAAATAGAACTGATAAAGAAAAGCTTTTTGATTAGCATATACTATTATAAAACGAATTAATAGAACCCCTATGCAATGTAAACAATTTCTTTATAGAAGTTTCCTTAATTATTATTATAATACAATGTTTTTATTCGTTGCCAACATGATCAAAATTTTATTAGGAAATTTTTTTAATTGTTATTATTATATAATACAACGTTTTATGTGTGCTAACAAACAGAAATTAATTTTCTGTTGTTAATTAAAATTTTGGAATTCTGATTGGCTAATTTGAATTTAACCTATGAAAAATGTTGCACGAAACTAAATTTTATTCTTTTCCATATTATTTATTATTGGCTTAAAAAAAAAAAAATAACCAATTCCTCCTTCTATGATGTTTTGTTATCTTGTGATTTATACTTTTTAATTGGATATTTTACCAACTTTCTACTAATTCCTTTTTTATAAAGATGTCAATATTTCTTTGAAAATTTCCTAATTGTACTAAATTCAAAGATTCTAGGTACATCTTTTTGCAAACCCTTTCAAGTATTCTCATGCAAATGTCTTTAGGCAGCGCCCTGATATCTCTCAATGGAATTTGGAAAAATATATATTTATGACTTGCATTCTTCAACTCTGTAAGAAAATCAAGTTCCAAAGACATTACTCAGCGAGTATAACAAAAAACCCTTGAAGGATTATTGATTTTTTTCTTCACATTCTAATAATACTTCAAATGGCCTGTATTTCTGGAAAGACCATTAATTGTGGCTTTTTATTTGGTCGAAAATCAGTGTCTCGCTCTCTAGTTGGGCCAAAGTTCATTCTACTCGCAACCAAATTCTCTTTGCTAAAATCAGAATGATTTAGTACTGTACACACAATCAGGGATATAAGGTCCCAAAATAGCAAAAATAAGAATTGCCTTGTATTCTATTCGCTCAAGAAGTTGATTAATTCCGGGTTTTAAATAACATCTGGTACATCTGGATGTCATGCAACATCAGTTAAAAATTCACTCACCATAATTGATCATTTTCCATAATGGTATTTCTCCATGATTGGACCACATTCATCGTCATTTGGATAGAAAATGAACTACAGGTATTCTTTCCTTCTCTCCTTCAAGTAGATCAGGGCGTATTTGATCCATAAATTCACCTTCATGTTTAGGATACATTTTTATACTCAAACATCTTTTCCAAGAATTCTTTTTGATTTTGCACAATATCCTCTCTTTCATGACATCATAACATGGTACGAATAACAAATGTACTTTTTTTTTCGCAAATGCAAATGTCGTGTGACCATTATTACGCAGGATAAAAAAAAATGATATGTCCAAACATGTTAATATTAAATTTTTTATGTTGTACTTGTGAACATTTTGTTCAATCAATATTTAGAGAATGATCAATCTATTCAGATTTTTATGTTTTATTTTATTTTAAACAGCCTCATTCCACTAAATTAAATAAAAATATTTCCTATATAGCATTCAATTAAATTTTTAGGATTGATAATGGAAAGTTTAAAACAAGAATCTTCTTTATTGCCACCAGAAGCATCATCTTCATGTACAGCATCTTCGACGTCAACATCAACACTGTTATCGTCAATTTCATCACCTAGACGAAAAATTGGCAACCCTAAAAAAAGGACAACTGGTAATCTTATGGATTTAATATCAAAATCTTCTGCATATAAAAGTGATCCACCAACCATAATTTTACCAGATTTTTTTTATTTGGGTGACTCAAAAACTGCTTGTTGGTTACCACATTTTGTCAATTGGAATATCACACATGTCATCAATTTATCAGGTTGTTCAAATTTTTGGGAAACTAAAGATAAGATTGACTATGAAATCTCAAATCTTGAATTTGATGATGAAATGACTAAAGATTTAGATGAATTTAAGGAAGAAGTTGTTGGCAAAGATATTAATAATAAAGTTACAAATGATCACATTATTCTTGACAATAAATGTGATGTCAATGATGATAATGATGATGATGGAACAACTATCGTAAAAAAAAAAAATGGAGCCACTTTTTTTGTAAGTTATTCTTCTGGTGGTGGTAATGGAGATAATAGCAAAAGTGTTAATAATGGTGATAATACCAGTATTTCTAAATTTGCACAAAACAATCAAGTAGGTAACAATAAAGTTACTCACGACAAATCATCACCATCATCATCACTGTCAACAAAAAAAATATATCAAAACTTCAATCCTCCTAAATATTTAAAAATCGACATTTTAGATGATCCAAAATCAAATATATCAAAATACTTTAATCAATGTATTGAATTTATCGAGAAAGCAAAAGAATCAAATGGCCGTGTTTATGTTCATTGTTATGCTGGTATTAGTAGATCAACAACAGTGGTGATTGCTTATTTGATGTATTCATGTAGATTTTCATTAAAAAAAGCTTTGAATTTAGTTAGGGAAAAACATAAAATTGTTAGACCAAATTCAGGATTCATTAGACAATTAGAAAAATTTGAAAAGGAGATTTCATTAAAAGATTAATTGATTGTGAATATTGGAATAGGTCACAAAAACTTATAGTTTCATGACTTGATTCTTTCCAATAAAATTTGTCTATATTGAAAGAAAGATAATGTAGTCAAATGTCACTTGATAATTGAACAATAATAAAATGATGCTAAAAAATAGTGTTTTTATTAAAAGTATAAAATTATTTCTTTTTCTAATAATATCTTTTAATGTGTATTTTTTTTTTTTTAAAAAATTATATGAATAGAAGTACTATTTATTATTTATTTATTTATTTTATTTGTTTGATTAAAAAAAAATACTTACAAATAAATTACTATCTCACATGCATATTTATATATATATATCTTATACTTAATGATTTGTTTAAAGATCATCGTCTTCCTCTGTTTTGAAATATATTAGAATTAATTATGTGATGAATTATTAGAATAATTATAATAAGTAAAAAAAAGAAAACTCGTACCAGGAAGAGGTTGGGCTGAAGCAACTTGTAATTCTTTATTGTATTGTTCAACTAAAGCAGGATCAAGTTCGAATTCTGGTGGTGCAAGTGCTGGAGAAGCAACAAACTCTAAATTTGGATTTCTATTCATTTATAAAAAAAAAATAACAGTAATATTTAATTTTTAGGAAAATATTATGATAATATCATAATGATTATTATTATTATGATAACAAACCCAATAAGTTTTCTGGCTAACCATAAAAATGGTTTTTCAAAATTATAATTGCTTTTGGCTGAAATATCATAGTATTGTAGATTCTTTTTACGATGAAATGTAATAGTTTTAGCTTTTACTTTACGTTCCTTTAAAAAAATTTTATGAAAAAATATAATAAGAATATTATTAACTATGTATAATCTCTTCATTATTATTTCTGTAATTTTAAAAAAAAATTTTCTATACCTTTATATCTACTTTATTACCACAAAGGACGATAGGAATGTTTTCACACACACGAATTAGATCTCTATGCCAATTTGGAACATTTTTGTATGTAATACGTGAAGTTACATCAAACATAATAATTGCGCATTGGCCTTGAATATAATATCCATCTCTAAGTCCTCCAAATTTTTCTTGTCCGGCGGTGTCCCATGCATTAAAACAAATTGGACCAAAATTTGTATGGAAAGCTAATGGATGAACTTCAACACCAAGGGTTGCTAACAAAAAAAATTTATAATTAATACCAAGTATTAAAATAACATTAAAACATTATCATTATTGATTTACGGTTGCGACTACTTACCCACATATTTCTTCTCGAATTCTCCTGTTAAATGACGTTTAACAAAGGTAGTCTTTCCAGTGCCTCCATCACCAACTATTCAGACAAGTCATTGAAAGTGAAAATCGATTTCAAATCACAATGTTACATAAATCAAGGTTCAGATTTAATGAGTATTTTTTCATTTCTCGATCAAAAAGAGTTTCGGAAAAAATAAAATAATAATAACTTACCTAAGACAAGTTTAAAAGTTGGAGCTTCTTGAGTAGTCATTTTTTTTTAAAGTTATGTTATTGTTCCTATGTAGATGTTAAAATAAAATTTTTTTCTTTCCCCGAAATAAATAATAAATAAGAATTTTTGTGACACACACACTTACCCAAGAAGTTTTCTTAGAGCCCTTAAAAATGCAACTCCACGATAGTTACACGTATACATTTTACCAGGTCATAATTAGTTTGTGGGAGTACCTTGGGGTTAAGTTTTAAAATTATGAAATTAAATCACGGCAGGAATTTTAATCAATCATCTAAAGACATAAAAATGCAGTCTCGATAAAAAATAAAAAATACCTAAGGAACAACCTGCAGTATGGTTTTTAATAGGAAAAATACTTGATTTAAAAGTTGGCCAATTTTACGTGAAAATAAATTTAGAATACTCCGGGCCCTACACCAACATAAAAAGTATAATCCGTAATAGTAAGTAAAAAAGAATAAGCGGTTGGCTTTTATTTGTATGATTAAAAATGTTCCAATTGTACGTCATCACTATATAATGTTTTTCAATTGAGAGCCAACATCGTTTGAAAATTAGTAATTCTTCTTTGTATATTAGATGGATATAATTTTATTTCATCGAAAGTACAAACAGCGTTACCAAAAGGATGCATTATTTATCCTTTAACTAGTGATGACTACGAAAGAGGTTTCTTAAGATGTTGAAGCTCGACCATTTCTTGGTCAGCAGTAAACATTAGCAATCAATAACAAATAAATTTTTTTTGGTATCTAAACATTCATGACAATCTTTAAGAATTGTGGAAACTATACTAGTTTGAATGCATAATCACGTCAAAAATGACTTGTTACCGTCTGGAAAGATATCACCCCCCGAAAGATAGCACCTTCTAAAAATAGAGTATAAAAAAGGCAATAAGGATATTTCAAAAATGTTTGCTAATAAAATTTTTTCATTTAGAAATATTAATATTAATATATATTTTAATATTTTGTGTAATAAATTCGTTACCTTTTTTGGATAATCTTATGCTCAAATTGAATGTAAAAAGAGGATCCATCTTTCAAGACTTTACGGTATTATTTGTAGAATTATTACTTACTATATTATAAAAATACTTTAATTCCATGAATGAAGGTATTTTTTCTTGTACAGACAATAACTTTTTAAAAATATATGGTAAGTAATAGGTAAACTAATATTTTTTGCTTTATAATAAATAATATTCAGCTAAATTTGATAAAGGTAAATGTTATAATTAACTTTTACAACAAAAATAATTATCATCATCCAATTAATTTATTTTTATTTCCTAATAACCAGGGAGTAAGCATCATTTTATTAATTAACTTTTACAACACAAAATAATTTTTATTAAAACATCATCTAATTAAATATCTTTCTTTTTTCTTTCTTTCATTATAATAACCAGGGAGTAAGTATTATACTATAAATTAACTTTTAAAACACAAAATAATTTTTATTAAACATCATTTTTCTTTTCTTTCTTTATGATAACCAGGGTGTAAGTATTACACTATAAATTAAATTTTACAACACAAAATAATTTTTATTAAACCATCATCTAATTAAATATCTTTATATAATAAATAACTAGAGGGTAAGTATTATATTATAAATTAACTTTTACAACACATCATCTAATTACATGTTTTTGTTTTTTTCTTTCCTTCTTTATAATAACCAGTTGGTAAGTATTATACTATAAATTAACTTATATAACAAAATGGGACCCGGACACTTTACCAACACCCACTTTACTGACAAGACACTTTACCGACAACATGCGATGTGATATTTTAGCATTTTATTAGTTTGTTTGATTGTGTAGAGATTAAATGTAACCCTGAGTGTTGTCAGTAAAGTGTCTTGTTGGTAAAGTGGGTGTCAGTAAAGTGTCCCAGACCCCAAAATAATTTCTATTAAAATATTGTCTAAATTAAATTCTTTTTTATAACAACTAGATCATAAGTGTGATACTATAAATTGACTTTTACAATACAAAATAAGTTTTATTAAATCATCATCTACATTGTCATCTTGAAAAAGATAACCTTTTCCATGAAATTCTCATTATTTCAATGTAATCCCATCTCCATAGTTCCATCTACTAAAACGAGGGTCCTAATCCTCTATTTGAAAAGCAACTCCAAACCATAATACTACCACCATTATGTTTCACAGTTGGTACCAAATTTTGTTTTTCAAAACATTCTCCAGACATGATTTGGACCATCATTGTTAAAAACTGCAAACCTAGATTCATCTGACCAAATAACATTTCCCCACTTTCTAATAGACCATGATTGCTTCTCCAAACACCAATTAAGTCGGTTCTCCATTTGTACATCAGTTAATAAAGGTTTTTGTGCTGGAATACGAGAAAAAAAACCAAGATTATGTAAGGACCTATGGATTGTCTTCTGTGATGCTTTGGTATTAGTTTTTTTTTCAAAGTTTTGCTGTATTTCAGCTAAAGTACTACGGGGTTTCTTATTAACAATTCTATTTATAACTCGTTCTTTTTCTTCACCAATTAATTTTGGACGTCCAGATCGAGGTGCAGAACTTGTTGTATGTGTGGCTCTAAAGCACACCAAAATATTATGGACTGTAGACTTTGGTATTCCAAGAACTTTACTAATTTCTCTCTCGCTACTACCAGCTCTGGACATACCAACAATTTGACCACGGGTTTCTTCATTTAATTCTTTCCTTTTTGAGTTTAAATTATCAACTTCCATTTAAAAAAATGTGATGATCAAAATTTTAACAGTTCAAAACAAACACAATAACAAAACTTCCATGTAACTCTTTATTCAGTGATGAAAATCATAACAAACATAAACAAATGATTCAGGAATATACTGTAAAAATTTCACATGTAGTTAATAAATTGATAAAATTTTAATTGGTTTTCAAAAAAGTGGTCCATGACTTTTGGGAGGTGAGTGTATATAGTAAAATTATGCAACTTTCAAACCACCAAGGCTTTTTTTTTTTATTATAAAATTGAAAAAAACTCTCTATTTCATTGTTGCTTAGGTTCTAAAGATTGCAAAAATAGAGAATTTTTTTCAATTTTATTAATTAAAAAAAAAAGCCTTAGTGGTTTGAAAGTTGCACAATTTTTTTAATGTCTTTAAATGACCCGCACCATAATAATATATTTTGTGTTTAAATTACATTGTTTATTTGTTTGTTTATCCATTTGAAATTTGAAAATCATTGGTAGCACTAAAATTTTTTTTGCCCCACATTGTCTCACTGTGGTGTTTCAGCGGATATAACCGGCGCGAACAGCAATGTCGGGTTAATGGTTTTTTTTGATGTCCAAAAATATAAAAATTAATAAATTATTAGTATGTTGTAAATCATCAACATGTACAACAAATATAACGAGACCAACTAAATTTTTCGATCATTTTTATAAAAAATTCATCCTTTTTTTTATTTTTATACACACATTATATAACCGTTAGTCATTTTGTCAAAACAATTTAAATAAAAAATGGTTTCTGAAATAACTGATTATAGAATTTCTAGGGTTGTCATACTTTGTAAAGATTGTGGCCAAGATGTTGGTTTTTACCCTGCTCGTCATAAATGTGGTCAAACACATTTAGATGCACCGCCTTTACCCTCTATTCCTAAAAAATATACATCGGGGAAAGGTAATTGAACGTTCGTTACATTTATTATGTATTTTTAAAAAACTTTTAAAAATATTCATTAAAGGCACTCCATTCTATATATGTGCGTATATAATTTAATTTATTGTAGTAATATTTTAATGTATTTTTTTTTTCCAGAAACTTCTTCAACAACAAAGGTAACAACGACAACAACAGCAGCAATAACATCCCCAGCACAAACTTCAACACTATGGAATAAATTTTTAAATGCTACAATATACACCAACAATAATGAAGATTCTGATAATGGTAGACTTTTGCACTTTTTAATTAATTAAATTAATTGAACATTTTAATTGATTCTATATTTATTTAAAATTTTTTGTTTTTTTGAATCCGTTCTTTTTTAATAGAATCTGAAAAATATGGTCATGAAAGCGAAACTCATATTTCACGTATTTTGAGAGAATATTATGAGAAAAAGTCTGGTGACCTTCCTAATTGGTTATATGATTCAACATCAACCAACGATAATGATATTGGTTACAATCCATCATTAAATAATAATAACGTACCATTATCATCATCTTACACTAATAATTCAATAAAATCACATAATAACAACAATAATAATAGTACCAGGCAAAACAATCTTTATAATTATGCAGCATCTAAAAGTTCACCAAATTTATTACAAAAATCACTAAGATCTCCTTCTTATTCGAACGAAAGAAATCCTGAACTACCTGTTAAATCTCTTGAAAGGAATCTAGGAAATAATAATAACGAGAGAATAAAAAGTAAAAGAAATGATCTTAATATTAATAATAGTAATAATAATAATTATTATCATCCTATGGCTCATTCACCAACACACTCGCCGATTCCTTCACCAACTTATCCAACCCAATCAGCTCAAAGAGGACGACAACCTCCTCCAAATTATACCAGATCTAATTTAAATGACCCTTCCAAAATCTCACCCAATCAACCTCATCTACAATATAGAGGTGGAAATTATTACAATGACATTCCTAATGCTAATAACGGTAATAGAGCCAGAAGTGTTAGTCCAAATCCTTCACCACGTGTATATAACTCAAATTCTTCATTCAACCAAAACCCTAATATTGATAATAATAACAATAGATATAATAATGATCCACATGGCGTGCGCATGCCATTATCTCCTCCTCCTCATTCTTCAACGTCATTGAGTTTAAGACCCGAAAGGAAAAAAAGAGGATGATATTTTAAAAAAAATATCTACAAGCTGAAAAAATACATTTTTAACATATTTAATATCTCTTATTTATATATATTTGGTATGATTTATTGTAATATTATTATTCTTTAAAAAATTTTCTTTTGAAAATATCACTAGACGCTTTTTAAAAAAATAACATTTATTTAAAATTATTATTTGTAAATTTTTCCTTTAATTTATTCAAATAGATATTTATAATAATAAAAATAAAAAAAAATTTAGACTTTGATTATTTGTGATCACGTTACCAAAGAATTTACAAAATTAATAAAATGCCTTTCCCAAAGAAATCAAAAGTTTACGATAGCGATGACGATGTTTCAAACGAAACATTTGTAGTTTACGGTACAGAGTTACCAGACATTTCTAGTGAACAGGATAATGGAAAATTTGTGCCAGTATGGAAACAAGAGGTACTTATTTTCTAAAGCTTTTTTTCTCAATTTTCTGATATTGATTTAATTTTTATTATTAATATAGGTTCGTGATGAAAATGGTATCAGGCGATTGCATGGTGCTTTTAAAGGTGGATGGTCAGCTGGTTATTATAATACAGTAGGTTCTAAAGAAGGTAAAACTGAAATAAAACTGAAATACTAAAATAACAAACTTTATTCATTTTTAATAATTTTGGTTAATTAATAATGTATCTCTATATATAACAATTAGGTTGGTCACCCTCTTCTTTTGTTTCTTCCCGAAAAAAAAGAACAGATTTTAAAGCCTATAAACCGGAGGATTTTATGGATGAAGAGGATTTGGAGGTTGTTATTATTTTGATTAAAATTAAATTTGATCTGCTAGGAAGTTTTCTCTACAAAATTACATTGACTTTATTACTGACTGAAATTAATTATGACAGGAGCTTGCTCAAGAGAAAAAATTGGTTACAACTGAAGAATTTGATTATTTTGGTTCTACAGAAAGAGAATTAGAAAAAAAGAATGCTATGAGAAAATCGATGGAAGCTGGCGGAAGGTATTATTTGTTTATTACAACTAGTTATATGCATCTCATTTTGTTTATATTTGTGGATATATCTAAATAAATATCTAACTTAACTATCTAGTGTATTAGGAACGCTTACAGACAAATTTATTGCAGATCTAATAGAACCTAGTAAAGATCCTATAGGTATATTGAATTTTCTTAAAAATGAAGTTGCTATTTATATTTATCCCTGTATTGTTAACCTTTTAAATCAATTGGAATATTTAGGTTTACGTCTATTGAAAGCTATGGGCTGGCGAGAGGAACAGGATGTAGAACCTCATATTATGAATAATAATGATAAAGATCATAGTAATAAAGATCATGGTATTTATTAATTATTACTATTATTATAAATATTGATAATGATATTATAAATAAAAATGTTCTCTTCTTATTATTTATCATATCGTTGATGTAATTGTTAGGTGGTATTGGTTTTGGTGTTTCAGATGATGAAGAAGATGAAATATATATTAATGGTGAAACATCCATGTCAAATTTCCATACTTCTATGATGGATGATTATGAAGATATTTTGATTTTAGGCGGAAAAGAACACTCAAAGTCAACACCCAAAAGTAAACCAAATACAAATTCTTATAAGGTAGTGTGTGTGTGTGCGTATATATAATATTTATTGTCAATGATTATTTTTTATTTTATTGAATAAGTTTATATTTCCATGTTTTTTGTCTACATAGTCCGCTGCTCCAAATAAAAGTGTATGTCATGATGGAAGTTTACCATTACCTGGATTTGTTCTAGCTTCTCGTCCTATTCCTCTAGATGAATGGTAGTATCTTTATATTTTTCATCTTTTATTGAAATTATTTTAATTTGAAAAAGGTGTTTAATAGTAGTTTGAAATTATTTCTAAAATATTGATAATATTAAAAATTAATAGAATTTTAAAGTATTATTTTTATTTCCTATTTTTATAATTTTGATAAAAATTTTTTTTATAGGTATTCGCCACCAACTTTGCCGCCGGATTTTGTTTCTATACATAAATTTGATTCAAGTACTGAAAAGGTTTTAAATCCTGTTGGTTCAAAAACGCAAAATTCCAAAAACCAGAAACAATCAACTTTGGCCTTAATTGCTGAACAGGTAAATTATATATTATTGGTAAAATATAATAAATTTATATTTGTTTTCAAGCACAAATATATTTTATATACATGTTGTGCGTGAAAATGAAATCTACAATTCATGTATGTGAAATTACATTAGCCAATCAAAAGGAATTTCGCATTCGTATTTAATTATAGATTTCAATTTCACAATACAACATATACATTTAATATTTTTTATATATAGCGTGGCGAATTATTAGGCGAAACACCATTAAAAGCTCCAGCACGATCTGTATTTGATTATATATCAAGAAAAGATAAAGAAAAATTGGATAATATAATCAGTTACAGATTTGATACAGTCGGAGAGTCGCCTAAGGATCAAAATAATAAAGTTCAAATTCCCAAAATAGGAAAGGATATTGCTATGGCTGCTTTAAAAGGATTTATACCATTTTCAGATAATAAAAATAAACAAATGAGATATAAACAATTTCTGGAAGCGCAGGCAGAGATCATTTCAGATGAATTAATCAGGCAGCCTGAAGTATTTATTATTACAATTATTATTTCAAAAAAAATTTTTCAGCTTTTTTTACATATTAAGTGATGCTCATTTTTGGTTTTTTACCTATATATAATAATGAATTTTTTTTACTATAAAAAGGGGATGACTTCCGAAGAGTATGCCAAAGAACTTGATGAATTTTCGCAAGCTACGAGAATTTTTCGTCCGATGTCCAGTATGCTAGCATCACGTTTCACCAGCTCGAGCAATTCTAGTTTAGAAATCAGTAATGATGATAATAATAGAAGTGTTGAAAAAATAATAGAGGATGGAAGTTACCTTAAAAGGCAAGAGGATAACCGAAAACAGACACAATCAACAGCAGAGACTGCTGCAAGGATGAATATGTTTGGAACTCTTACTCGTTCTAAAACAGAATTTTATCCCAATAGGCTTCTATGTAAAAGATTTAATATAGCAAATCCGCATCCAGATCATAAAAAATAATGGATTTACGAAATTGAAAAAAAAATTTTTTACAATTTTCTTCAAATTGTAATCATCTAGTCATGTGTGCGGAGGATTAGAATATGACGTGCTACACCAACCTTTCTTTACCAGAATAAAATTTATTTATTTATTCTTGAACATGTTTTATTATACATATATAATATATATATATATTAATATAATATAAATAATAGTCTTAAAATATAGACATAATAAAACAAAGGTACAATGATATTACATACAGTAAGTATTACAGTATTATAATCTTATATTGAGAATCGTGAATAAAAGCAATCGGATTTTTAAATCTTTGCAACAACAGTTAATGATTATTATTATTGTACGGTAATAATGTTCCAAATAAAAAATGTTGCACAATTGGTAATTTTTTCATTACTTCATCAACAAACATTTTCAACAAACCTGAATTTACTTTTGACCAGTTTGGCACTCCTGAAATATCATAAAGCAAAGGTGAATGTTCGTGGAATGGACCTTTTTTTACCTTATAATATAATATATACATATTGGAAAGAAGATACACACACATATATAAGCGTACACTTAATAAATGTATGTCGTAATATTTACAAATAAATAAACATATATCGATACCTCATTAATGTATTTTATACAGCCAAAATATATATACTCATTAGCATACATATCCACCAAATCATTCGATAATATGGATTTAGGTTTTATATTTGGATGATCTTTGGACAATATATTGATAATAATCATATTGGTTAAATAAAACCAACCAATTAGTCAAACAACAAAATTAATAACATTAATTCACTAGGTTTATTATAATTGATTGATACCTCTTAATTGTGCACTTCCCCAATAATATGAAAGAAATTGATGATCATCTAATCCCCATACTCCATGACTACCTGCTGGTTCAAGCATATAAACTCGTTGAAGTTTTTTAACCAAATCTAAATATCTTGTAAACAATAATAATAACAATAATAAGTATTATTATTATTATTATTATTGTAACTATTATTTATTCAATCGATCAAGTAGTAGTTAATTGATTACTTTTTAAATATTCTTGTAATTATTGAAGTATAATTTTTCTCTTCAAAAAGCCCTAATAAATTTAAACAACACAACCAACACACAAAATTTAATTCATGTCCACTTCCATAATCAATACGCGTGGAATTGCCAAAACTCTCTACAAAATATGGTGCTAATTCTATTATATGGTCATAATATTCAACCGGTAAAATATCTTTATGGATGATTTCCACATTCTATAACAAAAAAAAAGGTGAGAATCTATATTAATAAATGGATTATTAGTATGTAACATATATAATATATTAACAAACCTGTTCAAGTCGATTGATCCAAGTTCTAAATGCTTTATTGCCGAATCTTTGAGGCGTGGGCAATGGGGGATTCTCATCTATCCAAATCATCATTGTATCCAACGTATTTACTATTTTTTGTGTTATCTGTAATTTGTTAATTTTAATTATAACCATGAATTATAATACTGATTGAAATTATTAATTATTAAAATAAATTAGAACAAATTATATTTTAAAGCCATTTATTTATTTTATCAGACGTTTTTATTACCTCAGAGACGTGACATGGATCAGAATTCTTGTGATTGGCCACATTTTCATTCAACAGTTTGATAAAATGCATCAGGCGTATAAATGCTTCTGACTTGAGCCAATTTTCCAAATCTTGATCATTTTTAATTTGTCTACTTGGTTTAGCAGGAAGCATAATTATTAAATGATCGTCGGAAATGAATTACTGGCGGCACACGACAACCAATGTATTAATATATGCGTGCTTTTTAACCAAATTTGGTAATTTTTTGCCGATATTTGCCAAATTTGATTGGCACAAAAATTTCCGCACACTTGCTGAATTTTACATATTAATATTGATATTTTGAAGACAAGCCACTCACAAATAAAAGATGTCTCATACAAAATTCTCATATTTGGTATGTGCCTAAAAATAATCCAGAATTGGTGTCACAAAAAATTTCGAAGTATATAAAATGTTAAAAAGTTATTATTTCTATTATATGTGAATAAATTTATATATATACACATGTTAGATAATTTCTCAAGATCCAACGACTAATCAAAATAAATATTAACGTTAATTTCAATAATATAATCTAATTATTAAAGATAAAAATATAACAAATATAATATACATTTATACACGCAATTAATTATATATGAATACGCAACAAAAACCACAAATGCATTATCAACCAACACCACAACCACATCAACCACAGGCACAACAACATCATTATCATCATCAACAACAGCAACAGCTGCAACATTTACAACAGATGCAGCAGCAACAGTTCTTTCAACAACAACAACAACATCAACAGCAGCAACAACAACAACAACAATTACAACATTATCACCACCAGAATCCACTACAAAACCAACAATACCAACAACAACAACGATTAATGCAACAGCAACAGCAACAGCAGCAACAGCAGCAACAACATTACAATCATAATCGACATCAAAATCAGCATCAAAATCAACAACAGCAACAACAGTTTTCAAATAATGACCCCAATAGTCCTCATATGAATCCTGATCTTAATAATAGTAACAATACATCAAATAGCACTCCTGCTTCAGATGCAAGCAGTAATCATTCGAAAATTAAACCGAAAAAGGTGCTTGGGAATTATACTTTGTCAAAGACATTAGGTGCTGGCAGTATGGGAAAAGTTAAATTGGCAATACATTCGCTGAGTAATGAAAAGGTTTGTAAAGATTAAATTATTGCAAATAATTATAAACATGCATTTAAATGCATTTTTGAATTTTAATTTCATTCATTTATTCATTTAATCAATTAATTAAATAATATGGTTTTTTTTTAAATTAATTATTTTTATTATTTATTTATTTATTTAGTTGGCTGTAAAAATTATTCCAAGGTCTTTACCGTCTGATAATAAAGATAAAGATTCGTCCAACAAAGACGAAAACAAAGAAACTAGAACTATTCGTGAAGCAGCAATTATGTTGCTTTTGTATCATCCATATATAGTTCAACTTAAAGATGTTATGGTACTACAACATCATTATTACATGTTTTTTGAATATGTTAACGGTGGTCAGATGTTGGATTATATAATCAGTCATGGAAAATTAAAAGAGAAACACGCAAGAAAATTCGCAAGACAAATAGCTAGTGCATTAGGTCTGTATAATTATTTAATTTGAACCCATATATTATATTATCAAAGCTATGAAATTTTTCAATTTTAATGAACGTGTTCAATTCTCAATTGCTTTGTAATTTTTATCAAGTTTTAAATTTTTTTTACTATTGCTTATACAACTATCATAACATTATATATAATTATTAATATTAATACAGATTATTGTCATCGAAATTCAATTGTACACAGAGGTAAATTTTTATTTATTCATTGTATTTTACATATTTATCAAATTAATAATTAATTTTTTTCCAATAATTTTTTTTCTAATAAAGATTTAAAAATCGAAAATATACTCATATCAAAATCTGGTTCAATTAAAATTATTGATTTTGGATTGTCGAATCTTTATTCTCCACGTTCTCATCTTTCAACATTCTGTGGCTCATTGTATTTTGCTGCTCCAGAATTATTAAATGCAAAATTATACACTGGTCCTGAAGTCGATGTATGGAGCTTTGGGATTGTTTTATATGTTCTTGTTTGTGGTAAAGTACCTTTTGATGATCAAAGTATGCCTGCTTTACATGCAAAAATCAAAAAGGGCGTAGTTGAGTATCCTGGATGGTTGGGTAGTGGTAAGATAAAAATTTTAATAATATCTATCTATATATGTGTATATAAATATCGCTTTTTTAAATTGATTGATTGATTTATTTAATTTTTTTAAAAAAAATCCTGTATAAAGATTGTAAACATCTTTTATCAAGAATGTTAGTTGCAAATCCACTTCATCGTGCTTCGTTAGCAGAAGTTATGAATCATCCTTGGATGAATAAAGGTCACGAAGGTCCACTTGAAAATTTTTTACCTCCACGTAATCCATTAAGTCTTCCACTCGATATGGAGGTAATTCGGGGCATGACTGGCTTTGAATTTGGTACAGAACAAGAAATTAAAATGCGCCTTGAAAATATTATAAAAAGTGAATCATACCAAAATTCGATAAAAAACTTTATATATCCAACACATATAAGTGGTGCTAGTAGCAGTAGTAATATTTCTTTTGATCATAGAAGAAGAATGAGTGCTGGTGGTGCTGGTGGTGGTAGTAGTAGTGGATTTGACTATTATCGTAGAAAGTTTTCTGGATCAAATAATTCTATTAACGAAGACAGAACCTTTACAGCCGATCCTACTCAAGCTGTTCATCCATTGATCTCAATTTATTACCTTGTAAAGGAAAAACTTGAAAGGGAACGTTTGATTCAACAGGGTTTTATACCTCAATTTGGTTCATCATCATCATCACTTGTAGAACAAAATAGTTTACAAACGCCTCATATTCCTTTACCAGATCCATCATATCCAAGTGAAACTGGATTTGATATAAACATGAACAGTTCATCTGCTTCCGGAAATAGTTCATCTGCTGTTCCCATAAGAAGAGCTACTGTTCCATCTGGGGCTAGACCTCGTTCAAGGACAAATGGAGAAGTTGATTTTAACATTGGACCAATTCCACCGGTGATAGTTGAAAGAGAAGTTATTGAAGAAAATCCAGATGACGGTGAGTTATCTTACGCTAAAAAGGGTAAGAATCAACATTCAAACACAAATGCTGGTGGTGTTGGACTAATTCGACGTTTGAGTTTAGCAATAGTTGGTCAACGTGAAACTACTTCCCCCCAAACATCTCCGATTTCACCAATATTCGCAGTTTCGAGAGGCCAATCTGAACATAGACGTCATGGCTCTACACCAACCGGTGTCAAAAAAGAAGGAGTCATAAATATTCCTCAGAGATTTTCGAATATTTTATCAAGAACAACATCTGTACCTGAAACTGATTATTATCAATCTCGCCCTCGTTCAAAACCTTTAGTAGGTAATAATAATAATAATAATAATAGATTACCTAATAATACTAATGTTCCACCAAAAAGCCCTGGGACCAAAGTTCCCGTTAGTGTTTTACCACAATTAATCGAACCATCCTCAAATAATACCACAGCAATTTCTGATAGGATCACTTTTGCACCTGGTACTTACACATCATCTAAATCAAATACTGCACCTAACTCTTCGGCACGTTTTACTCATGGTCGTAGTACCTCTACAAGTGCTACATCCTATCCAATAAATATAAATTCTGTTAATAATCATTATTATAACAATAACAATAACAATGGTATTAGTGGTGGTAATAATAATAATATTAATAGTATTAATAATAGTAATAATACAAGGACAGACGATTTCAACTTTCCACCTTCATCATCACCACATACACCTTTGCCTGGTGGAACTGCTGATTCATGGATTCGCCCTGTATATCTTAAAGGTTTATTTAGCGTAGCAACGACTTCCACAAAACCACCGTCAATAATTCGACAAGATCTTATTAAAGTTCTTGAAAGAATTGGTGTGAAATGGAGAGAAGGTCGCGGGGGTTTTGAATGTGTTCACATTCCAAGTATTGATTTAAAATCAGTAATCACAACTAATTATGGTGGAAATAATAGTAATAATGGCATTGGAAAAAACGATAATCCCTATATTACCACAAATTATAGTGGTGGAGGCGGCATTAATACAACTAGTCATCACCATACACATTTTAATCGTCATGAGCGAAGAGGTAGTCTTTCTTCAGGAAATTCAGGTGCATCCACTTCATCATCAACATCCTACAAAGATAGTTACGCACAAGGTCAAGATCTTCAGTTTTCTGCAGATGGAGAAGTTAGACTTTCGTTATCTTCTAACGCGGGAGCTACAAATCAATTAGGTTACATTAATCCCATTATTGGTAGTGGTGGTAGTGGTGGTGGCGCTGTCGTTAATGTGGGTGGTGTTGCTGGAAATGGTTACTCAGCTTCTGCAAATGTATCGGATTTAGTTGTTAGATTTGAAATATTCATTGTTAAAGTACCATTATTGCTTGGTGTACATGGTTTACAATTTCGTAGAGTTGCTGGTGATCCATGGCAATATAAAAATATGTGTTCAAAAATTTTAGGAGAATTAAAATTGTAGAACAATTCATTCATTCATATAATAATAGTTATTATTATTTGCATATAATGAATGTCTTTGCCAACTTTGACAATTTTTATATTTATATTAATGTATATATATAATTTATATTAATAATATACTTGTTGTAATGCTTCTTTCATCCAAATATTTTTATGTGCTAATATTAAAATTTGTAAATATTTTTATATTATATATCTCCTAATATTATTTAATTTGTTATATTTGAACTTTCAGAAGAAGGATTTGATTTTTCTAGTGCATTATCATTTAATGCATCATTCATTTCATCAAATGCTGCAAAATGTCTCTGTTGAAGTAATTTAATATCTTCAAACACTAAATTATAAATGTTTGTATTATTGTTTATAGATTTGAAGTGTTAGAGTGTTAGAGCATGTGTGTATAAAATGTGCAAATCACATTAATGATTATAATAATAATTCATGATAAATAGATAATGAGTTAGTTACCTTTATTAGCATAATTTGTGTCTTTGATGTATACTTTTTGTAAGAAATCAATCATTGCACCAGTACTAACAGCACACTCTTCAACTGGCAATGTATCATAATATGAATGATTTATTTCAAATGGATTTTCTGGTGCTATATTAAGACTTAATGTTATAACTTCTTCTATAATGTCCCATAATTTTATATCTGTTTTTTTTTAATGGATAATTAATTAATTAATAGATGTACAAACAGATTTATAAATTGATTAATGAATTAATGGTAAATATGCCTTGAGTTTTCCAATTTGCTATTGTGTCAAGTTTCAGTGGATTATCAGTTTCTAGTTTCTGATCATCTTCAATTTGAATTAAATTTTTATGATTTGATCTTAACTGTCAACACATATGAAAAAAACAACAAATAAACATATGTTATTACAATAACAATACAAAAAGTAAAATATTATGATAATATTATTACCCAAACATATGGACATTTGTATCTAGCATATCCAGCTATAAGAAATACAATATTTGATTCATCCTAAACAATATAATTATGCAGCTTATAATGATTAGATAATAAATTATATATAATTATATTTATAATCAACATTATTATAATGATTACTTTTGATAGATCATTATCTAGTGGACTGGATGGTGATGATATTAAATTAAGTATATCAGCTCCATTACTTAATCTACAATAAGTAATTAATCAAATAATCAAATAATAATCAAATTAACCTGATTAATAATTAATGAATTATTGATTTTAAAAAAAAGCATCTTACGTTCTACGTGTTTTTGGTGAAAATAATGCATCACGACTATAAATACAATTGATTTAATCAAAAAATAAAATAGGAGAAGAAAATATGGAGCATTTTAAGACAAAGAAAACTACTGAATTACTGGACGATAAAAAAATATAAATAAAAAATTTAAAAAGAAAAAAAAACTTACTGTGATTTTGCAAGTGACAAAGAATTATATTTTATTCTGCTACTTTCATATATTGTAGAACTTGTTTTTTCATTTCCATCAACAATGCTACTACCATTAGTACTCTGATGAACTATATAAACCCTTAATAAAAGTTCTTCTCTACCTCTTAAATATAACTCAAAACGTTTAAATCCCTTTTTTAATTTTTTAAAAAATTTAACAATTGCAGCATATTTTCAATGTTTTAGTCATTTTAAAAATTGGAATTGGAATTTGATTTTTTTTTTTTTTTTTTTAGAAAAAAACCTTTAAACAACCAACTGCAAGGCAATCTAAAAGAAATGCTGATAGTCGTATACTCTCTGACTTTATGCCTACTCCTTGATTACCGCCGCCACCACCACCAACACCAACAGTAGTAGTACCGGCTATCATTATTATGTTAACAAAGTTTTTAAAAAAAATTAATGATTTACGTATTTTTATTACTTATCAGTTTTAAATAAAAATTAATTATTTAAATTATATGATTTCAACATCTCTAATAGTTACGGCCATACATAGTGAAAACCACCGGAACCCGTCTGATCTCCGAAGTTAAACCACTAATGGCCCAGTCAGTACTATGGTTGGGGACAACATGGGAATACTGGGTGCCGTAACTTTTTTTTTTTATAATATTTTATATCATTCTTCTACTCGGAAATTCTTGACAAGCTAACTAATCCAATTTTACATTAACGCGCAAGAAAGTTTTAAATGATTTAATTACATTTTTTGGGAATGGTTAAAAAAATAAAATCTAATATCACCATATATGAAATGTTGTTAATGATTAAAAATTTTTCATTTTAATATCAATTAATTGATTTAAAGAAATAAAAGATCGCAATTTTTTTTTTGATAAATTTATAATGTAAATTTTTGTTTTACTTAAGGAATGGAAAAACCTCAAGTGGGTGTACGCTGCGACATAGTGAACATTATGTCTCGAAGAATTACAATTCAAATTTAACGTCGATAATGCAAATCACATTGCACTCATTCATGTTTAACACTTCTTAAGAACATTTTTGTTCAATTTATTATTTCTAAGCGAAAAAATACAAGCAGGAGAGAAAAATCCAAATAAAATTTTTACAAGCAATATTAAAAAAAAAATCATGTTGTTATTTTACAATTGCAAAACAAAATCCAAACCAATATCAATATTATAAAAAAATTCAAATTTCAAGCGCTCTGTGGCAGTAGATGCAATATATAGAACAAGAAATTTTATATTAAAATATTCATTTGCCAAAATCTAGATCCATTGTTGACATAGATAATCATATTTCTCAAATTTTATTTTGTCATGTGGTTTATAATAGTATTTTTTTTGAAATATCTGTGGGTCAAAATTTGAAATTCACGCGCGTGAATTTCAAATTCAATTTTGACAAGTCATAAATTGATTCAATAATAGCCTTATTCTTTGTACATAAAAGATGTATAAAATTCATAAAATTCTTTTTATTTTTTTATTTATCATAATATAAATTTTTTTAAATATGAAAATTCAAAAAAAACCTAAATACATATAGATGTTTGTTTATACAAATTTTTTGTAATCAAATAGGTGTTAGAAAAATAAATAAAAAAATAAAAATAAAAAATGTCAAAGGCATCTATTAATAGACTTTGACATATTAAAATATAT